GGGGGGGGTTCGCGCGGGTGATGGACCCCACCCTTTCCCCTCGATCTCGGGCATGGTTCCAAGTGCTGGGGTGAGGCGCGGTGTGGCCACAGCTTCATGGTCCATTCCTCGCTTTCCAATGCCACAAACCCAATCCCTTTCACTCCCAAGATCGCGGCGGTGGACGTGGAGTCGGGCGTGCAGCACCGCCGCGGCTGCAACTGCAAGAAGTCCGGCTGCATCAAGAAGTACTGCGAGTGCTTCCAGGCGGGCATCGCCTGTGGCGAGCATTGCAAGTGCGAGGGGTGCAAGAACTGCGTGGACAACCCGCTCCGAGCCGCCGCGGGGAGCCAGAAGCGGGGCCGCACATCGGGCCAGGCGCGGCAGGGCGCCGGCGGCGAGACCGAGCCCGGCTTGTCCGGCGCCACGCTGGACAGCGGCAGCGGCGTGGATGAGGTGCTGGGCCAGGCGGCGCGCCCCGGATCGACGGGCGCAGCGCCGGCGGCTGCGGCGGCCGGCGCCGCGCCCGGGCAGCAGCAGCAGCAGCACATGGTGATGATGCCCATGCACATGCTCACCGGCGACTCTTCCAGGGGGCCTGGGGCTCTGGGACAAGTGAGTTTTCACGAGGGGGAGTGGTGGAGGTGGGGAGAGGAGGCCAGCTTTATTTGTCAGACAAGGCTCCTGGGCATGCGGCTCTGGCTGCATGAGTGGCTGGGAATCTGGGGGTCCATGCCTCCGAAGGCCTGGCCAGCAGAGGCATGGGCTCAAGCGCTGCGCATTCACTTCACTGTGGGTTCCAGTTGCTGCTGGCAGTCTGCATGTCAGGCTCCCCTTGGACAGGCCTGGCCCTCTCCCCCCACTCCCCCCCTCCCCCCCTCCCTACCCCGCTGTGTCCCCGCACCAACACCTCTCCCTCCTCACCCCTCCTCACCCTCCGCTCAGATGGGTCTGGTGCCCATGCTGTGGCCCCAGGGCACGCCCGCCCCGCAGTTCTTTGCCCTGCAACAGGCCCACCAGGCTAGCTACGCGGCCGTGATGGCGGCGCAGCGCGCGCAGCAGGCCGCGCTCCAGCAGCGTCTCCTGGATGGGCTGGCTGGGCCCCAGGCGGCGCCGGCGGCGGCCGCGCCCGGCGCGGACCGGGCATGCGCGGCGGGCCTGCTGGCGGCGCTGGACACACCCGTGGCGGGGATGTTGGGGGCGGGCCTGCTGGGGCCCTCGCCCTCGCCCCCGCCCGGCGTGGCGATGGGCCTCCCTCCGGACTTTGAGTTTGGGCTGGGCGGCACGCCGCGCAGGGACGGGAGCGTGGCTGCGCTGGCGGCCGACACCCACCTGCTGTTGGACACGCCGCTGGGGCCGGAGGGCCTGCTCCCCGCTCCGCTCTGAGGCCCCGGCGGGGCGCAGCCCCCTGGGGTGACGTGCCACCGTGATCGCTGGTGACCGCCATGTAACATCGTGAATGGAGGGGACCCAGGGGGCATCCCAGCGGCACGGGAAGCTATGCGAGCACCCTGAACGAGCGTGTTCATGGGAGGGAGGGGGAGTGTGGGGAGCCTCGGGAGCGGTTGACGGCTGGTACCTCGGGTGGAGGAGCGCTCTCGGGGCAGGGGTCCCAGCGGGATCGAGCGCCCTTTCGTCGTGGACGCGACAGTATCGCATGTTGCGGGGCTCGACCCCACACCAGGCTGTCAAAGCAAAGATACTCGAGAACTGGATGCAAACGATGGGAGCCTGAGATGCTGACCCAAAGGATGCGGACGCCGGTGCCGTGACCAACACCAGCACGGGATGGCTCGGGAGGTGAAGGCGACCATCGACGCCACACTCCTCAAGGTGCGGCACATTGACACTGTTGGGGAGCCACAGCATCCCAAATGTTTGAGACCGGGGGTTGTGCCTCCCTGCTGATCCAGATCGCGGAGCTCAACGCCATCATCCAAGACTACCAAGGAGAGCCGGGCCTGCTCCCCAGCAAACTGTAAGGCATCGGCCTCTCTGCCTGGCCCTCGCTTTGGGGGGCTGTGCAAGTAGCCGCGTGCCTCTTACACTTTTCGAGCGCCATGCCTGGATGCAGGGAGGAATACTCCTTGTGCCTCAAGCAGCTGGTCGCTCAGAAGGACGGGCTACTGGCCCAGGATGGGACCCCCATCGAAGTCGCAGTGGAGATGCTGAGGTACATTGGACAGCTGTGAGGCAGTGTCTTTGAATTCCTTGTACCTTGCTGCTGCCTGGAGTTCCGCGGCCCTTGTAGGAGAGACAACAACTCAGCTGTCCTGTCTCATTCTCAACACGGCAGGCGAATCGATGAGGGGGACAATCCGGACGCATTTACCAGCGCTGTGTTTCGCTCAAGTTTGGCTGCCAACCAGGCCTGCAAGGGAAAGGTGGAAGCCGTACGGTGAGGAGGTGGGGGGGGAGTTGACTTGCCTGGATTTGCAGCCGGAGCTCTTCTGTGCCATATACTCGGAGCTAATCATTGCGGGAGCGCAAATGTATGCCAAGCACCCATGCCCGCCTGGCTGCAGTGATCTAAGGACCGCCGTGCATGCACGTTTCAAGACTGCTTTCCCAGAGGAGATGCAGCGGTATGACCGGCTACGACAAAGAACTGCAGATCCCAACGTTGCCTGAGGATGGCTGCATGTCCTACTCTCAGAAGCATGCCCTCTTCCTCTTGGGGGGTCAAGACAATCTCTGGAGGATTTCTTAAATCAACAGCTCAAATGGCAAATCGTCTCCACCACTCACTCGCATGGAGGCTCTCCCCTTGCTCATGGGTTGTTGTGGGGGCGGGCTGGCCCCCACAACGGTGGACCGCTGTATATGACCTAAAGTAGGAATGTTACAGACGAGACCCCGAATGCAGTGTGATGGTTGGGTTTCATAGGCGTCGCAAGGAGGCGTGGACTCGGGGCAGAGCGGGAACAGGTGGAAAGTGGGGCAACAGCCCGGTCAAGGGGGACCCCCACAACATTCGCTGTCCTGCCAGTGCTGCCAACATACTTGACATCATCAACTTAGGGCCAGTGACCCAGCGAGGGTCATGACAGCTGCATGTTGCCTCAACCCAGCTGCCTATTGCCTCGGCACCAGACCATCCATCCCTAGGTCTTACATCGCCATGGACAGCACTGTCATTGCACGCAGCAGTCTCCAGGACCTTGCGGGCTCCCTTCTGCCCCCCCTCCAAAGAGAGGGAACCCTTCGGCGCCCAACCCTTCCCCTCCCGGCGCCAGCTCGTCCACGATCTCCTTGGGAGGCTGGCCACAGGCTTGCATCTGGGCATCATGGGATGAGGAATAGGGGTGTGCATGGGATGCTGTCACAGTGGCCCGACTCGGGAGTGCGGAGAGGGAAGGGGACTGATGGGCTGCGTCCCCGATCTCAGGTCCAGGCACCCCCTTGCTGCTCGGCCACTCAGTGGCAACCCCCCCCGAAGCGACATACCGTGGCACCTTCATTCGCCCGGATTCCTCATCCTGTTGCCTCCATTGCCCCCATCCTGGCCACAGCACAAAGGCCCCATCCCCCCCTGCCCCTTATCTCATCCTTTCCCTCCCTTCACAGGTACCAACTTTTTGCGTGCCTGCTGGAGGAGGTCGAGCAGCGCCCCAAAGTCCTCTGGATCCGTCTCGTACTGCTTCAGCAGGCGCTGGATGTGCTCGTACTGCCTCCCGTACCGCTCCAGCTCCTCCGCCGGCAGCTCGTCCCTGTGCGCCGCCAGCCAGTCGGGGTACTTTGCCCCGATCTCCACCAGCGGCTCGTACAGCACATCCTTGCTCAGCAGCTGGTTCATGATGGAGTCCACAAAGGAGCCCATTTCGGGGCCATCGGCCGCGTCCTCGCCCGCCTCGCCCAGCCCCGCACCCCCCAGCTGGGCAGCCAGCTGAGCCAGGGCGTCCTCTGCGTGAGTGTGTAGGGAGAAAGCAGCCTGGCGGGACTGTCACTCGGCGAAGAGGAGCCGCGCAGGTGGCCATGCAAACAGCGCCAGGGCCGACTCGGCCCTGCGTTCGGCAGGGGTGAACGGGGCTGGCCAGCATGGGCGCTCTCGCATGGAAGAGAACAAAGCGTCCCCCGGTGCCGAAGGCGGTTCAACTCTAGAGGACACTGCAGCAGAATTGCCTGTGCAGGTGGCCAGGCGTCGTAAATCCATCAGCACCAACCCCACTGCTTGGCGGCTCAGTCCACTACCCCAGCCACACACTTGTGATCACCTTGGCTTCCTCCCTCCCTCTCAAACGCCGGGGCTTGATCTGCGAGGGCTTTCAGTGTCGCCGCCAGGTCCTTGTTCTGCGGCTCGGCTGTAAGTCCCTGGGGCCCGGCCTGCCTGGTGCCCGGGGCGACACCCTCCGGGCCTGCGCCAGGAGATCAACGACTGGTCGGGCCGGGATGCCATGGCGAGGTTGTGAAGGGGCTACAGGGAGTCTCTGCACTGTATTCTAGACAGGCCAATCATCCGAAGAGGCAACGCACAGAACATGTACTTCCGAGGGATCCACACCGCCTACCTACCTGCCAACTCAGCCAGCATCTTCTGCAAGCCCTTGGCAAGCTCTTCACCATCCAGTCCTCCAAGCCCGACGTCCTGTCTCGGGTCCACCTCGTTGCGTGGAGCTGGGTCTGCTGGCTTGGTGGCGCTCGCCTTCGATGCTCGCCCTCTTTGCCCAAGGGGGTCAAATTTGAGGCCAGAGGATTCTGCACTTGCTGAGGTGCGCCCAGCGGCAGGCTCAGCATTGGAGGTTCCTGCCACTCCTGTCTCCAGTCCCTCTCCCCTGTGTTCATGGGTGCGATGTGGGTAAGCTGAGGGAGAGGTGGCTGGGCCGAGCGCGAGCATGCTCGAGCTGTGCACCCCGCCAACCGAGCTCCCCATGCTCACGCACCTTTCTACAACCGAGGTGGACACAGTGGAAAAGTCCCCGAGCGCATCTGTAGAGCGATTCGAGTGAATATTAGCATTGCTGCAGCATTGTATGATTGCAAAAATGCAGCCTGCACCCCACGCGCACCGTCCAGAAGGGCGGAGAGGTCGTCCTGGTTGGCCATCGCCTCGTGTCTGCAGCTTTGGTGACTTGATTTGTTTGCGTGTGAAAACAGCACCGGTGCACTCGCTTGCTGTGAGTGCGAGCTACTGTTCCTGTTTGGAGCGGCCCGGTCCTCCCGAGACTGTCGGGGCGTAAGCCGCACGTGAAGGGCTGTAGCCGTAGGCCTTCCGGTGTCACACCATCCTCCTAGAGTGCCACAGGAGTTGCAGGCCCAGGGAAGACAAAGACACTTTACAAGACTTCACTTCAATGGATTGAGTGAGAGAGAGGGCAAGCATTTGCCTGTGGGTGGATCTTCAGCAGCATTGCATGGGTTTGGGGGGTGGCAAGCAACATGTCAGTACTTGGAATAAATATGCACCTGTGCATCCACGATGCGTCACGGACCACGACAGTGGGACAGATGAATTGCAGTGAGTCATTTAGGAAGCTCACTGGCAGGAGACGGCTCATCTTTGATGGCATCGCTGTCCTTGTCCGCCTCCTCCATTGTGGTCGGCTTGGGAATGGGAGCCTGTGCTGCAGCAAACATGTGCTTGACACTGGTGCTCACCGCCCCTGCCCACGCAGCCATTCTGCAAGGTACATGTGGCAGGACGAGGTTCCAGGGTTTGGACGGGAGCCTGCTGAGCGGCCTCTTTCGTGTGGCGTGCACCTGCATTCACCGAGGCAGCAACCTTCCCAAACGTGTCTGCGTACCTCTCTTGCCCAAGGGCGAGGACAATCATGAAGACACCGTATGGGATGACGATAATGGAAAAGACGGCCTTTCCCCATGGCTGTGGGCCAGGGAGAGAGCGTGCAGGTGGTGGGCGGGCGTCAATGCCCAGGTTGGCAGTGGGTGAGGGGGTGTTGGGCGCACAAACGCCCGTGTACTTCCAGAGCCCCCAGCTCCCGCGCATCCACCTCTTTCCCCCTCTTCCCTCCCGAGAAAAGGCCTGCCTGGTCTGGGAAGACGGCCAGAATGAAGTCCACGGCCAGGTACCCGTTCATCGCCACCAGGACCAGCGTGAAGAGGATCATAAAGATAAAGAACCAGCCGGACAGTGCATCCGGCCCCATCACTCGGGACTTGGAGCAGATGACGATCGTCTGGGGTCAAAGGCCACGGCGCGGGGGGGCGGTGATTGGGACCAGGCAATGGAGCAGAGCGGCGTGACCGACACGACCCAGGCTTGGAGTCCCACCGCACGGCCTGGCAGGCCTTCATGCCCTGCAGGCAGGGGCCTCTCACCGGAATTACCACAAAGGGGAGCACCAGGCTCTGTGCAATGTTCAACCAGTTGGTCAGCGAGGTGAGGGACTGGTCTGCCCCTCTGAGGAGGGTCGCGATGCAGAGAGTGGGTCCCAGGGTCAGCAGGCGTGTCCCGGCCACACGGTACCACTTATTCACCTGGAAGGTTGGGAGGGGAGAGCAGGAGGGGGGGGTGGGGCGGGGAGGGGCCAAGGAATGCCACGTCATGTGAAGCACTCTGGCAAGCAATACGGCGCCGGGGACGGCCGCCAGGCGCTGCTGGCCGGAGAGGTCGGCACGACGTGGACCCTCGATGGAACCTCCACCCTGCCCTCCTCCCACACGCCTACCTTCCACCCCATGAAGCCGTCCATGACCACCTGTCCGGCGTAGGTGGAGGTCACCGTGGATGCATTGGCAGCCGCCAGCAGGCCCACTCCCCAGATGATGCGCTGAGGGGCAGGGGCCAAGGGTGTGTTGCATTGAGTTGTGAAGGGTATGTGACGCAGGAGCAGGGGATTGCAGGATCCCGCCGGCACATATCATGGGCACCAGAGCTGGTGGCAAAATGTCCCTCACTCCGGCCCGCCAGGCACCCCTCCACGCAGCAGGACAGCTAGGCTGCATGATACGTACAACTCCGGCGCCGAAACTGGCTCCCAGCAGCGCGCCCGCATTTCCAATCCCGACATTGGCTGCCCCGGTGGAGGTGTAGAAGGCGCTGGCAAACACTGCAGGAGCAGAAGGGTCAGGGGTTCATGGGCGGAGAAGGAGGCACTTAGGCCAGTGATGGCTAGAGGTGAAATGTACCGCGGACCCCGACCAGCTGTTCGGTATATGAGAGCCGGGGCGCACTGGGAAGAATTCCTCAGTGGGTATTCCCGCGTCTTCCAAGTGCAGCGCCCCGCCACCAAGGGAGACTCACCGGCGATGACAAAGATGTTGATGAGCACGGAGATGAAGAGGCCGATGCCTGTCTCTATCTTCACGTATGTGAGGGCGCGCTCGTGTGTGACCTTCGACTCCTTGGACCTGGGCAAAGGTCAGTGCAGGGGTCGGGGTTGGGGAAACCTGGCGGGAGGTCCCTTGCACCCCATACTGAGTCCCTTGGCTGCCCAGCAAAACATGCGCGCAGTACACCCTGCGTGGTCTGGCAACCATATTCCTGCTGGCGTGCCTTGCTCACCGTGCAATCATGAGGGCGGAGTGGAGGTAGAGGTTGTGCGGCATGATGGTTGCCCCCACCGTGCCCGCAATATATTGGATGGTGCCATCAGGGACCAGCGGGATCGCAATACCTGGCAAGGGAACAAGGGGGGAAGGTTGGTGTTTGGGGTGGCGGGCACGTAGGTGCTCACATCTCGCTGGTCCCCGGGTGCGGGAGCCAGGCTTCCAGGCCACCCAGCCCCCCCCTCCTACACAACAGTCAACCCCAACACTGCCGCCCGGCGGCCGACTCACCCTTGAGCGTGGCGATGTAGTCGACGTGGGTGTCGACAAAGAGGTAGAGGAAGGTGCCGCTCATGCAGGCAATGAAGAGCATGAGCAAGAACTCCAGGTAGCGCATGCCCACGCTCTCCAGGGCCAAGCACATGAAGGCGGTGGCCCCCGTGATGAGCACCCCCGCCCACATGGGGATGGCACCGCCGCTGAGGGCGCTGAGGGCGCAGGCCCCGCCGATCACCTCCACCATGTCGCAGGTGAGGATGCCCACCTCCACAAATATCCAGAGTAGGGTGCGGGTAGTGCTGTTGTACTCGGCCCGGACGTGCTGGGCCAGGTCCTGGCGGGTGGTCATGCCCAGCCGGGCGGCGACCATCTGCATGATGAAGCCCTGTGGGGTTGGTGGTGGGGAGCGGGGGAAGGGCGTGAAGCAGGGTGTGTTGCCTCCGCGGTCGAGTTCGCGGCCCTTCGGGGCCGCCACTTCGCGACCCACCCTGGCCAGGCTTGCCTGGCGCGACAGCGGCTCGGGACCCTGCGAGGCTCCCCCAACAAGGGCAACCAGGCCTTTCCCTCAGGGTCCACCAAACAGCAGCACGCACCAACACAGTGGACCACACGGTGACCCAGGTGATGGAGTAGCCGACCACGGCACCCTGGTTTATGTCACTGGCAAGGTTGCCGGGGTCCATGTACGCCACTGGGGAGTGTCAGATGGGGAAGGGGTGGTCAACATTGGGACAGGGCAGGGTCTGGGGGAAGGGTAGGCCTGAAAGTCATACTGCATCCTGCCTTTGGTACCCAGACGTACTGGCGACTAGGAATCCGGGGCCCTGTGATGCAGCAAGGGGGATGGGGGGGAGGGTGAGGGCGTGGGGGGCATGATGCCAGGTGTCTGGCTGGGGACGTTCGCGGTGACGCGCGGACCGGACAATGAATGATTGCAGAGGTGAAGGGTCATGGACCGACGACGGCGCCCGAGGCGCTGCAGGGATCCTGCAATGCCCCCTCAAGATGCACGAGGGAGTACCCAGCAGGTGCTGCGACTCACCGTGTAGGAGAGTAAGCCTCGCCAGAAGGACTGTACCCTGAACTTTTCGGACAGCCCCGGCGGCGGGTCCCCTCGCAAACTCTCTCTAAAAAGTGGCTTTATGGTAGGACCATCGATGGCTTCACGCAGGCGCGCCATGCGCAGGGAACCTGTGGGTTCGAGGGCCTCCTTCTCGGCTCCGGTTGCAATCCCGGGCTCAGCAGGGGCAGGCAACGACGCTGGCTCAAACGGCGGCATGTCGCTCATCGGGAAGACCGCAAGCTCGGTCTTTACCGCGTCAGAAAGTCAAAATGAGTGCTTCAGAGGAGTCTGCCTGCTGGTTGATGTGCCTCACCCTCCGGTTCACTTGCTCAACCAGTCGAGCGAGTGCGCCACCTTCGGGTAGGCGTACGCCGGTGAATCCCCTGCTCGCTGTAGGGTATAGGGGTTTAGGGATTAAAGAGTTGTTCGTGTCGAAGCTACAGCCAACTAGCTCGGCAAGGATTACACTGTTCTGAACATGTATTCGCCATTGCTATTTTCTTGCTTGAAAACGGGGGGAGAAAGCTCGGGGTGAGCGATTCGCGTTGCAGTCATACCCCTTACCTGCTCTAGCTGAATCCCCAGTGCGAATCCCCGGGAGCTAACCCGACAACTTTCGCGCATGGGAAAATGAAGCATGCTCCTCCTCGTATTTCTCGTAGGTTATTTGACACAGAACCTGGGGCACTTTCAAGGCCGGCAGGGATGATGTTCTTCTACTCAGGCCCGCATTGAGCCTTTGATTTTATTGACAAGGTCATATGGCGGCTTGCACGTAAGTTGAGGGTGTGTCCCCAAGTGCGGCCGCACACAATGCTGGCCTGGGGATGATGACCACAGTTGAGAGGGAAGCTTCCCTCCTCGAGACTTCCGATGCAACGTAATGCCGACAACCTCTGCCGATCCATTGCTGAATTCCAAAGTAGCGGCCAGCAGGACTGAGACGGGGACTGCAGGTGACACTTGGCCTGCGTGATTGAGCGGGAAACAGAGGTTGGGCGACCACGATCCTGCACCCACACATATCCTCTGATCTGCGCGCAAGCAGAAGCAAAGCCATGTCATCAACACAGTCTCTCCTCATGGTGCAATCTCCTGCACGGTGCCTGGTACCCCATCCTGGCTGTCCTCCGGCACAGGGAACGGGCACCCTCACTGCCTGGTCAGATCCTGCGCTCCGTGGCCACACCCGCTTACTAAACATTAAGAAGACAGTCCTCTACATGCCACCCATGCGGAGGAAAGAAGTCAGATCAAGGACAAATAACAAGGTTGCAAAAGTGCCATAAAGGAGTTACCAGAAGAACGTAATACCCAGCGCACGGGGTTAGGACCCTACTACGACGTGCTGGCCAGCTGGGGACAGTGGGAGAAAGGGAGGAGTGGCGCTCACAGGTGCACCTCCATCATGTCTGCGGGCCGGGCACAAACGAGACGCGCCCTCGTCTTGAGGAAGCTTGTCGACTTGGCCCACCAGCGCGCAGACCTGCGGGAGCGGGGGAACACACAAGGCTTTGACGTGACCCTGGGCATCGCCTCGCCCTGCTGCCAGGCGGCGCCGCCCGCCCGCCCCCTCCCACGATGCCCGCACCTCTCCACGCCGACGATGAGGTAGCCCATGAAGGTCAGGTACACGGTGCAGATCAGTGCAAACAGGAAGCGGGCCCAGTCCTGCGTGGATTTGAGAGGAAGGATGTAGATACATGGAGACCAGGGGGCAAAGCGGCGCGGGCGGGGTCATGGCAGGGCCGACGAGCATTGCGTCACACGGGTGACAACCCTCGCGTGCGTGCCCCGTCCCCTCGGTCACCTCGCTGGGCAGCTCGCTCAGGCCAAACGTGACCGCCAGGTAGCTGCGCTCGCAGCAGGGTTGGAGGCAGGACTTCAGCGCATAGCTTGCTTGGTGGGATAATCCCCCATGAAAGTGCAAGCCGGAGCTAGAGCGCAAAGTGAGTCCTTGGTCAGGCATAGTGCCCTACTTTCCCCACTCTTACCCATTCATGCCGATCAGGATGGCAGTGAAGATGCTCATGACGACTGCGGCAGCGTGGGAGTGGGGTTTGCATCACCGTCCTCAGGATTCAAGTGCGGCAGCATACCCTGGCATCCTGCCAGCCCTGAGATGTATGCCTCCCATCTCACAGGCCTTGCACGGCATGGCAGGCACGATCCAAAGTAGCATGAAAGGTGCGACCCAACCCCATCTCACCGGTGAACCAGGGTCGGCTGGCGTGCTCCCCCATGATCCTCTCCGAGGAAGTGAACAGCAGTAACTGCGCAGGTGCAACCACATGGGGCAACACGGAGGCTGAGACTCTTGGTCTGAGAAGCTCCTTATCAGTCAGGTATCCCGGCTACACCGGCACTGCCGAGTCAGGCAGGAGACTGGCGCGAGCTCTGCAGGGGTCCTGACGGAGAAGCATGACCTCGAATCGGGGTCTACCCCCGCACTCTCGTCCTCCCCTCCCCCCTCCCTCACCGGAATGACAACAAAGGGGAGCACCAGGGACTGCACGATGTTCAGCCACTCGGTGAGCGTGTCAAAGCTGGCGTCCCCGTTCCGGAGGAACACCGCGACCAGCAGGGTCGGGCCCAGGGTGATGAGTCGCACCGCCAGCGTGCGCCACCAGATGGAGATCTGCGCAAATGAAGGGGGATGATTGTCATCGCTGGTGGGATGGGCTTACCAGCAGGTGGGCGCTGCTTCTTTGGGCCCCCGCCCACCTTCCAGTTCCAGAAGCCGTCCATGACGATCTGGCCGGCGTAGGTGGAGGTCACCGTGGAGGCATTGGCAGCCGCCAGCAGGCCCACCGCCCAGATAATCCTCTAGAAAGACGGAATGAGAGGTGAGCGGTTGGGCGGGGAGGTAAGTGAAGTAACGTGGACCTGCACAATAGCCGACGCTGGAAGGCGTCATTGGGTAGCCACCCCCCAAAATGCCAAGGGATCCCTGCAACTCACGATCGCGGTCCCAAACATCTTGCCCAGCTCGAATCCGGCATTTCCCAGCCCGACTTGGGGCGCGACCAGGGAGTTGTAGAATGCGCCAGAGAACACTGACCGGGGGAGGGGGAGGGTGGGGGGCGATGGGTACATGAGGAGCGAAAATGCTCTCGCACATCTCCGCCCTGCAAGCGAGCAGGTGCCTGCACCCATGCACACGACACTCAGTCACTACACTACAAGCCCACCAACCCCAAAACAAATCCTCACCGGAGATGATAGAGATGTTGATCATGAGGGACAGAGTGAGTGCGATCGCGCTTTCCACCTTGACGAAGCGGAGCGCGCGGCGCACCGACACCACCGCGATGTAGTCAGACCTGCAGTGGTTGAGGAAGGTGGGTGGGTGGGAGGGTTGAATAGGCGCATGGCACTGCAGGGTAGGCAGGACTTGCCGCCACCCCTGAAGCAGCATCATGGCTGATCTCAGCAGGCGCGGTGTGCTCCCGTCCCCACCATCGTCTCCATTGACCCCCGCAGAGTCCACCTCCCACCTGGACATCATGAGGCCAGAGTGGAGGTAGAGGTTGTGGGGCATGATGATGGCCCCAATGGCGCCCACAGCATAGGGGATGGTGTGCCCATTCAGCCTTGGGATGACCATGCCTGGTGTAGGGTTGGAGGAGAGGGGGGTGGAAGTTGGGGTGGAAGTCATGAAGGTGCATGAGCCACATGAAGGACCTTTCAGCCCTGCGCTCGCCCACAGCATTTCTCGCAGGCTGGTCCCCAACATGCGAGAGGGTAGCCCATCCTTGTCGGGCGCGCCCTCCCCCCCCCCCCCCCTTCCGAAGACCCACCCTTGAGGGCCTCCACGTAGTCCACGTCGGTGGAAAAGAACATATAGAAGAAGGTGCCGCCCATGGTCATGATGAGGGACACCAGCACCGCCTCCAGCACGCGCATGCCGGCACGCTCTAGCAGCAGCACGCCAAAGGCGGAGCATGCGGTGATGAGCACCCCCGCCCACAGCGGCACCGCGCCATTGCTCAGCGTGTTGAGCGCCACCGCGCCTCCGATCACCTCGATCATGTCGCAGGCGATGACGCCTAGCTCCACCAGCACCCAGAGCACCATGCGCGGGAAGATGGGGTAGTTCTCGCGGGCGTGCTCTGCCAGGTGGCGCCCCGTGGCCACCCCAAGCTTGGCGGCCATCATCTGCATGACAAAGCCCTGCGGAAGAGTACGATCGGGACCAGGAGGAGGCTGTGTGAGTGCATGTCTGTGGAGATGTTTGCATGTGTGTAAAGGTGGCCAGGGGCACGTGTGCCTTGAGCCGACAGAATGTAGCGAGGAAGGGACACACAGGTGGCGGATGAATGGATGTCGCAGCCCTGACGGGACGGTGACGGGGGCAGATGGCAGCGCACCCCGCCCTCCCCACTCCCTTCCCATGCACGCATCTGCCAGGCAACACTCACCAGGACCGTGCACCAGAGGGTGACCCAGATGAGGGTGTATCCTGCCTGCACTCCCTGGTTGATGTCACTGGCAAGGTTGCCGGGGTCAATGTATGCCACTGACGATGGATGGAGGTGGAAGGAGGAGCGCACGGTGAGCCTCAGGGTTCGTGGAGGACACGGATGCCGTCCGACTCTCACGTCTGCTGATGAAAATTCACTTGACCCTGCACCCTGAGAATCCATCCATTTAATTCATCCTCCCAGCCAGTGACAACACAATTGAATGCGAAAAATGGCTCACTCGACACAAGGAAACCTGGGCCCTGCACGGGTAACGGGAGGGTGGAAGGAAGACCAGCGTGAAAGTGCTGAGGAACGCACCGTGGAAGAAATTCCAAGCAGGCACATGTCACATGCAACCCATTCCTTTCTGCAATGGCTGGGTGCATGTCCTTCACTCCCCTGCTTGGTGTCCCGTGGTCACAGCATCCCAGACCCAGGGGGGGGAACACAGGAAGCCTGCCACATACAAAACACTTACAATGAAGGCCATGAGTCCTTTAAAGAAGCTGATTCTTTCAGGTTCCAGAGGACCAGCACCGCCCAATTCCGCCACGGAAGCGCTGGTCGGCACATCCTTGTCCAGCAGCTCTGCCTCGGTGGGAACCTCGGTGGGTGCCCCATCTGTGGCCGCAACGCTCCTAGCAGCCGACGCGGCCACCCCCGCGGAGGTTAGGGCACATGAAGTGGACGGCGCGAGCTCCAAACTGGTGCGTGGAGTGGCTCCCATGGCTGACGGAGGAGCGGCACCCGGCAGGCCCGCTCGCGACCTCAGAAAATCCCTCGCGGGTTTGAGATGAGCGATTGAATCTCCCAAGGAAAAGAATCTTCCACTTGTGAATTATTTAATGTCTATCGGAGTCGTGATCGGGTGCGGATTTCATGTCTCATGCCACGAAAGCGCGAGTCCCCGCACATTGGAAGGTGGCGCGTGCTACCGTCACGTTCCGGGGCAGCACATCCGCTAAGCAAACCATCCCCTCCAGGCAAACATGAGCTGTGTTGCGGAGAAGAAGGTAAGCAGCCCCAAGGGTACTGCAATTGGGGTCCCCAGCACTTCTTTAATGAATGCGATTAGCCCATCCATCCCCACCACAAACCCTGTCAGGTTGACGGCCATGAGCCCCGCAATGTTCACTGCTCCGCCAGCTGCGCAGATATGGCGCCACACGGGGCGTGCCTTCAGGCCCTGTTGCCGGGGCATCGCAGCCCAGGCCTTGAGCAGCAGCTCTGGCAGGAATGCGAGGCACACCATCCACGACCAGGCCAGCAGCCGCCACTGTAGAGTGAGGAGAGTTCGAGTGTGGAGAGTTCAATTGCCACTGTCGGAGGCGGGGCAACGGGCTGCACTTCAACAGTGTAGAGTTTTTCCGCTCCTGGATTCCCGCCTCCCAGCGCCCTACCTCCAGATCGTGCCAGACGGCCACAAACATGAAGATCGGCCAGATGATCAGGAGCCGCGACCGTGCGCCTCCCAGGGGAATGTACAGGTACCTGACAAGCCAGAGATTGAAGGAGGCATGCCATCCTTTCCAGAAACCCTGCAGGCCAGGGGGACGGAGTATGATTGGGGGTCCGCTCACAAACAGTCGTCACCACATACTCTTGAGAGCTTGCAAGTGCCGTCACGTTGACTGCCAGGAGGTGCTGCATACTCCTCACTTTCCCCCGCCAACCCCTCTGACCTCCACATCAAAGTTGTTGGCAAAGAACTGCGGCATGTTCTCGGGTGGATCCAGGCCATCCACCAGCGCCATCAACCTGATGCATCCCAGCATGGGTGGCTGAGCAAAGGTGTACAAGCAACAGCCCCATGGGGAAGAGAGAACGCTGTGGTGGAGTTCAGACTGTGCAGAACGCCGCGCTCATACCAGCCCTGCAGGGCCCTTGCCAGGATAGAGGGGCCAGCATCCTCCGTCCTGTGATCCACTACATATTTCGCTTGCACCGTGATTGTTCCTAGCGCCGGCATCCACAAAACGATCCCCTGGCCCACCTGAAGAAACGCCAGATGACGTCAAACTTCAGCCACATGAAGGTGAGGACCCACCACCCCGTCAGCGCCACCGGGAAGGCGCCGTGCGTCAGTCCATGAGGCCCCAGCCTGGCGCCGACGCGATGCTTGGCCAGCGAGTTGAAGTAGAGCAGGTGTGTCAGCAGCTCCAGACACAGCAGGTCGCTGGCGAAACGCAGCGCATACAGTGCCGCCTGGGAGGGTTGTAGGTGGAGAAGTTGGGCTATGTGTAGACCTCAACACGGAATGGCGTGCTTTGGGGCCAAATTTCAGTCTCCACAGATATTGGATGGTGCTCTACGCTTTCCTGTGCCCACCTGAAGCGGAGGCACACTTGTCGCTGTACGCCTGCGCTGCCAGCCAAAGTCTTGGTAGGTGATTATTGGGCCGGCTAGGTAGAGTGGCGGGTAGAAAAGGTATGTCAGGTAGGGCCAGAGTCCGTAGTCTTTAGCGCTGGGCAGGGAGGTTGCGGCGCGCTGCCTGGCTGTCCGGGGGGAAACCTCGGGAGCGGCCTGAGTGGGCAAAGGGGTGGAGGTTAGGAGAGTGGAGCCCTGTGCGGTGTGCTGATGTTTGCAGGACAGGCACTCTGCCCTCTTTGAGACAAGCTAGGGTTGACCAAATCTTCCAGTCATCGAGCTGTCCGGCTGGACTGGGTCAGACCTCAAGGGTGGTAGTCGCTCTGTAAATGTCAGTGACTTGCACATGAAGGCAATCCCTGGAGATATCCCCACAGTACCTTCTCGGAAGCAGCCAGGACTGCAGCCCTGCTCCTCCTCCAGTGCAGGTCCAGTGAGTAGGAGAGCATGCGCAGGAGGGTCATGTTGTAGCAGATCTCCCAGCGAACTGGGCCGCGGTGGGCCCCGGAGTCGAGCCCGCGGAAGCCCTCGGTCAGGCGCACCGCCAGCAGGGCCGCCATGTGCGAGGTCCACAGCGCCAGGACCCTGCAGTGGCATGGGGTAGGGTTGGTGCATGGAGCAGCACGGTCTGTAGCCCTGCTCGTACAGCATGCAAACCTGCCCTCCCCCCCCTTTGAATCCCCAGACTCCCTGGATCTGGAACCCGTCTCACCCATGCTTGCACCCTGCGAGGCCCTGGGCCGCCCCGAAGCCCGCCAGAGCAAGCCCGAGCACATACGTCAGTGCCACGCCGTGAAGGTACCCTGCAGGTCGCGGGCAGGGGCATGTGGTGAAGAAGGGTCGGCCCGCATCAACCTCCGACGCCCAGGTGCCCACGGCAGGCGCGGCTGCAGCAGGGGTCCTCCCCCAAAGGAGGGCATCGCCCCTCCTGCATGCCTGCAAAAGCGAGGCCCAGGAGGAGCGACGTGATCGCCTGCCATCGCGCTGAGCGAGTCAGCACGCCACGCAGGCAGGCATGCGCCAGGAGGACGCACGCCAGGGGAAGCAGGCTGGACCTGAAGGTGCGCCACTGATCGTCCGACAGGTCCTGTTGAGGTGACAGCCAGAGCATGGGTGGAGGGGATGGGGTTTCTGATGGAGGTGTACATGTCATCCCAGGAGGACACACTCGGACTCGCCATGCGAGAGGGCAAGCATGGGCAGGGCCAGCACGATGCCCATAGGGTGATTGACCACCTAGAAACGGTCACGCTGCCGCTCCCAAGTGCTCGGCCGCTCCCGAGTGCTCGTCACTCCATCCTCACCAGGAGCCTACCATGCTCTGGCCTGGCCACCAGTTGCTGGGCCGCAAGCCCGGGGCACGGCCATCCCAGGTTCCTCCTTGCGCAAATTGTGCAGAGTACTTGATGCCCTGGATCAGGAGTATGCCTGCGGAGATGCCCACGACCTGTAGGAGAGCGGATGCGCTGGGTATTGAAGGACATGCAGATTTTGGTCGCAGGCCTCACCACTTCCCTGAGCATTCCCCCCGCACCCCAAGATAAGCCGCAAGTTCAGCTCGTAACATGGTCTTGATGCTTTACTTTAGATAATCAACTCAGGAACATGGTCGCACTTGCATGCATCGGTCTCGGAAACAGCTTGCTGCTTTTCGAAATTGAACCGCGAGACGGACCGCGCCCAGTGTATGTCGTAATGGGCACTGCACAGAGAGGGGCCCCAGCTCCTCATAGGCAGCCATCATCCGCCCCCCCCTCCGATCTGATGATGCACGTGGCTTTAAACCCCGGCAATACGACATCGTTGAGCACAAGGTGATCGTGGGCCTCCTTGGCACGACTGTGCGACTTCCCCCTCAGCCGGCACACAAAGCGAACGCACTTGCGCGACAACGCAGTGCCTTATAGGCCGGGCCTGATACAACCATGAGCTCCATCGGAGGTCTGGTACACTCCATCAACGACTGTATCAACCGCCGAAATAGTGAGTCTCGCAGGTGCCTGAGTGTGAGGGCCCACTCGGCTTTCAGCGTCAAGGATTCGACATACTTGTGCTCCTGGATGTTGGACACCCCATCCTGGACACGTCTGGATGCCATGCAGGTGCACGCCTGAGGCTGCTGCTCCAGGTGAACAACAGCACCACCCAGGAGGCCGTCTTTGCTGCCAGGAATGCCAATCCACGCTGGGACCCCGTCGCGGCAGCCAACCGACTCCCCGAAGGCTGGGCCGAGTTCCTGGCGCTCTTCTGGGCTTGCATTGTGGCTCTCCAGGAGGGGAAGCGGGGAGAGGCGTATGATAAGCTGGTGGCTGCCCTGCAGCCCTTCATCAAGGCGAGGAGTGTTGAGGGGCGGGATGTGTTCGTGAGAGCGCACACCGCTTAGGCTGATGGACTCCAGGACTCACCCCCACCCTGCAGGTGTTTCGCGAGGATTCAGAGGACTGGGTGGTGCCCCTTATGCACAGCATGGTGCACAACCTGAGAAGGTGGGTTTTGATGTTGTCTTGGACCATCTGGATGGTCAGCCAATCGGTGCCTGTAGGATCTAGGATCACCAAGAACGCTGCACCTCCTGCCTCCGCTGCACATCCCAACCCACACATCGTGAAGAAGGGGGTTTGATTGGATTGCCGTGGTAATACCGTCCCAACCCACCTGACGTCACCCAGCTGTCTGCTTCCCCGCACACCCATGCCCCGGTGCAGCGTTGCCCAGGCCGCCGACCAGGAGCTGGAAGCCGCGGGGAAGCCAGCCACGCGACTGGGGGACTGCGGCGACCAACTACGCAAGTGCTTCGCCGTGGCCCTGCAGGCCCCCGGGAACCAGGGCAAGCGGCTGGCGGCGCTGGATGTGGTCAATGTCTCGATCAAGACCTACTTCAAGCTGAACACGCTGCGACTGTGCAAGAACCTGACACGCACGGTGTGTGGGTGGTGTGGAGGAACGGGTGTCCTTGTACATCCTTAGGTTTGCGATGGAGCTGGGGAGGCATGCGGCATGGTACCATGCATCCTGCGGCGCCAGCGTGGGCTGGCATTTTGAGCCTGGATGCTCCCTCGTGCAGCCACTGTGTCTGTGTTGCGCCCGGTGCCCACTGACTCCACCCAATCGCACATGCAGGTCGTGTCGCGTCAGTTTGCGCCCTTTGAGCTCTTCCCCGTGTCTCAGAGGGTGACCTATAAGTTTTACGTCGGGCGCCTGGCTGTTTTTGACGAGAACTTTGTGAGTGGGCCAGGGAAGTGGATCGGCATGGGAAATCGATGGAGACCCCTGCCGCAGCCAGAACCGTTGGCCCGGACATATCCCTTACACGTCCATCTTGCCGGACGCTAGCCCGCCCTCCTTCACCTTCCCCTCTCATCAGCAAGAGGCACGGGAAAGCCTGGAGTATGCACTGCAGCACTGCCACCGAGGCGCGGTCAGAAACAAGGCCAAGATCCTGAAGTATCTCGTGCCGGTGAGGCTGCGCTGTGCCGCCCCGGTGACATGTGCAGCAGGGCTAGACGATGAGCACGAGGGTCCACCCTGTCCTTGTTCCCCATGCATGTGTCTTGCATTGCACGCTCTTGTGCTTGGCGTGGGGTTCCAACCAGGTGCTGCTCTGCAGTCGAATTTGAGAGCCGCTTCATATTTTGCTCATGTTTTTGGCGACCCTAGGAGTTGCTGCGTGCCCTGGGCACCCCCTTTCCGTTTTGTTGGCACTGCAACAGCCGTCCTCTGCTCCCTGTTTTCCACCCCGCTCTGCAGGTGCAGCTGCTGCTGGGCAGGTTCCCTTCCGCAGCCCTGGTCCAGCAGTACCAGTTGCAGCAGTACCAGCCGCTCATGCAGGCCATGCGGACAGGGGACATGCGCCTGTTTGACACGACCATGGATGTGCAACAGTTCACCTTCATCCAGGAGGTGTGTATACAGTGGTTGTCCTGCAGCTGGGTTTGGGGGGAAGCAAGAAATAGGAGGTGCTGTCACTTTACTTTGTGCGGTGTACTGGGGTGTGGAGGGGAAGCCACAGATGTGAGCCTTGTCTGCCGCTCAGCCGCACCCGTGGCATGCTTTCCTCAGGGCACATATCTGCTGCTGGAAAAGTTGCGCCTGGCCGTCCTGCGACGTCTGCTCAAGCAGGTATGCCGGCGACTACCCTTGGTGGTTGACATGGATTTGTTCGGATGGTGTGCTTTCCACCCTGTCACTGCAGATGCATGCTTTCATGATTGCCCCTGACCATGATCACGGCCCTCAACCCCTCGAGCGAGCAGGTGCATGCTGTGCATGCTGTAGCGGAGCCGGGAAAGGCAACCCAGATCCCCTTGGACTGGGTCCTGGCGGCCCTGAGGTGTCAGACAGCTGCCGCACCGCAGCAGGTGCGCATGTTGTGCTCCTTGCCGCAGTCACTGGAGGGGTGGGGCCATGATTTGGAGGCAATGGGAGTTGATTGTATCCCTGAGTACCCAGCAAGTCTGGCTCACAGGAGGAGGAGATGACCATGGACGAGGTGGAGTGTGTGTGCGCCAACCTCATATACCGCAAGTGAGCAGGGCGTGTGGGGAACCAGGGTGGGTGCGGATGCTTTGCCCTGGCGCACAGTGTAGAGAGTACCCCAGCTCATCCTCCTGCCGTTGCCTGCTGATGCACATCTGCACCGCACCATCGCAACTCAAACCCACCTTGCAGGTATGTGCGGGGTTACATCAGCCACAAAAACAAGGTGATGGTGGTGGCCAAATCCGAGCCGTTTCCACCCCTCGCCTCAATCAGCTTTGCTGATGGGTGAGGGGTGACATGTTACAGCAGGCATGCAAGGAGCCTGTAAACAGCAAAATATGAGCAGAGCTGTGAGGTACAGGTGACATGAGCTGCCCCGCATCCGAGGTACATGTGGACGGCGGGCTGATTCTGGCGCAGGCCCCACACCGAAGATCATGCTGCGGGGCGCAATTGCAGCCCTTGGAGAGTCCGCTAGAGCGAGATGGACAGGGCGTGGGCCCTTGAATCCGAGGGGCATGTGCCAAGGCATGCCTTTTGGTGCAGCGCGGGAATGGTGGACTCTGCCCCCCGTGACTCGACGATGAAAGGCAGTGGACAGCTCCGTGCGCCTGCCTGCACCAGCGCTTCATGCGCTTGCTTCAGCTGGCCCTGTGGCATGGCAACTGGCCGATGGTCTCTCGGGTTGGGAAGACAAGTCCAGGGTACGGATGCGAACTCGCATGCGCAGTCAGATCTCCATCCCCCCACCGTTCCTTCCCACCCATCGCGAGACAAGCGTCCAGGCCAGCCATACCGCTCACCTCCTGCTGCAGTAAGCGCCACTGGGCATCAGCAAGCTCGACCTTGGCGGAGGCCAGGCTCTGCACCAGGTCCAGGAGGGAGTCATCCCGCACCACCGCCATGATCTGCTCCTCCAAGGCTTCCAGACGCGCCGTGAGCAAGCGATTGCTCCGCACTGTACTTGCAGGTGGAACACGCAGGACTGTACAAGTGTAGACAGCTGGCGACGAGGAGAGCACACGCGCGCGCGGAGGTACGGCAGTTTTCTTCCCTGGACGAACTGGAAGGACATGCACCAACCAGCCTGTGGCTAATCGATCCTCTGAATGCCTCTCACCCAGTGCATCAATCTCCAGGGACTGCTGCAGTGCGTTGCTGGCCTCCGCATAGGAAAGGGCTTGGGCCTCCTGCCTTTCTGTCACCAGCCGCAGGCACCTGGAAGGGAGGGAGGTTGTGGCGGCTTATGCCAGCATATTTTGCACCTCCTTAACAGGTGTGCCACTGACACAGAGCCTGGGATATAAAGCCGATGACTACAGCACACATGCACACCAGGTGAGCAATGCCGGAGCCAAGCCAGACCCTTCCCAGGGAAACATCTCGACTGCTTTGCCTCACCTGCGGCGAAGTGCCGACATGCAAGTCTCGCTCTGTATGGCATCTCGCTCGGCAGCATCGGTGGCCGGGGTCGGGGTGGCTGGCGGGTGCAGGCACCTCCTCGCATGAGCCGACGGTGGTGTTAGAAGGGGCGTCATGTACAAAGTGTGGCCTACATGATGCCTGGTCACCTCTGCACTCCGCCCAGCAGCTACCACGGGCCAGCTGTGGGTGCGACAATGGTTGGTCATGCGCGTCAAGGTAGCCGGCCTTTGGGGTGTGCGCCATTGTGAAGGCGATGGTGCTCCGCTTGCCTGTTGATGAGGGAGGCCGAGCATATGATTGTTTGACATTGGGAACATAGTGCAGCGCCGTTCACCGAAAGGATCCTGCATGGTTGCTGCCACCTTTTAAAAGCATTACTCAATAGATTGAAGGATGCTTTCATGAGGGGGTCAAGGTGGTGATCGCACGACTCTGAACAACTCTGCTCACGACGGTGAAACATCTGGGGGAAGACCACTTCCCTACTCACTCCGACTCCTGACAGCTGCGTTTGTCCTTTCAAATCGTCATTCAGCGCCGTGAATTCTGCTGGAATAAGTACTTCTGGGGCTCTTCGATTGCCATTCATCGAGGCTGGCCTAGCGGTTTCCTTCAAGGCCGGTGCTTGGCAAAGAGACTGTGGCCGCCGAGCATGCTCGAGAGGTAGCGACACAGATATGCGTGCATACAATACCGTTGATCCCACACGATTGTCATTTAACTCGATCCCTCAACGCTGCAGCACACTTGTACCTTGGTGGTAAGTGTCGAGGAGTGGCTCGACTTTCATACCGCCGGGGGCTCAGATTCGGGCAGATTGCATCTAGCACAGGACTTTTGCGACTGGTGGTCGTAGTGCTGACCACCTGTCGCTAGAAGGAGCAGCGTGGAGTGACAGGTGAATCTTGACGCGTTCATATCACCGGAAAACTGCACTGCACGCACAGCACGGCCGGAACCGATCTGGTGGGACAAATAGTTCAAGTGCTTGCCATGCAGACCACATACCAGCGCACACGTTTGTGCCTGTGGTTACCTTGCTGAAATTTTGCCCAGGACAGTATGCTGCACTCACGTCGTCGCCACATGGCTGTGAACCTGTCCTCCAAGGCCCGGCAATAGGAGGGCACCCGTCCGCCATGGCGATTGCCGGTCCAGCTGTCATCACACGGCTGGATCCAGGGGTGGTGAATCGCATCGCGGCAGGCGAGATCATCCAGAAACCCTCCAGCGCCCTCAAGGAGCTGCTGGAGAACGCCTTGGACGCTGGGGCCACATCCATCACGGTCATATCCAAGGACGGTGGATCCAAGATCCTGCAGATCCAAGACAATGGACATGGCATCAGGGTGAGTGCCCCTTTTTGCACCCACCCTCCAGGGCCGTCGCAACATCCTTGTGCGGTTCACTCCAATGCCCACCTTCCTACTCATGCGGGACTTGCCACAGTTGCGTTCACTGGCAGCGTTCTCAGATACTGCTTTTCCGACCCCACCACCTTGGTCATATGGTCCCCACGCAGGAGGAGGACATGCCTATCCTCTGCGAGCGTCACACCACCTCCAAGCTGCGCCAGTTTGAGGATTTACAGACCCTTCAGGCATGGGGAGAGAGTGGGTTCTCAGCATGCAGTTCTTGCAATGCTGGCCAGATGGTGCAGTCCTTCGTCCATCGCGTGAGCCAGGCTGCAACCCTCTCATACCTCCCCTCTCCGCCACACCTCCCCTTAGACGCTTGGATTCCGAGGGGAGGCGCTGGCCAGCATCAGCTTTGTGTCCCACGTGACCATCACGACTCAGCCAGCCATGGCTACCCACGCCCTGCGTGCAACCTACCATGATGGTGTGTGTGTTGGGGGAGCTTGTTGGGTATTGGACAAGATCCTGTTGGCTCCCTGTTTCAGTGTCAGCAACCCTCCGAGTTTTATTCGGCGACAGGTGTCATGGATCCCCCTGGTCCGGTGCCGTGTGCCTCCAACCCGGGGACGACCATCCTTGTGGAGGACATGTTCTACAATGTGCCGCTCCGGAAGAAGGTGGGCCGACAACGCTGCTCTATGCCATGCAGCATGGGTAGAGCTGGAATGGGAACGGTTCGGCATGGACTGCCCAGGACGGGACTGCTGGGGCTCATCGAAGCACACAGCCATCAACGGGCAAGTGCACCTGCTGTATAGGTGCAGTGAGATGACACTTGAATGCCCTTGCTCCGCACCCAAACTCAGGCTCTCAAGTCTGCTGGCGAGGAGCATGCGGCCATCCTGGACATTGTGGGACGGTATGCGCTGTACAAGCCAGGCATCGCTTTTGTCTGCAAGCGATCGGGGGAGAGCAGGGCAGACCTCGTGACACTCAGGGGCGCAACCCGGCTGCAAAATATACGGTGAGTCGTACTGTGAGCGCCACACGCAACAGCCCAGGAGGGACTTCAGGGTGTGTGCGGCCTGGATGGGGCTCCCAGCATGCGTATGTGTGTTTAAGTGGTGTCAGACATGTGGTCACAGAATTATCTGGTTTTGTTCTGGTGTCGCACCGCGGGCAGGGAGATGATCTCACTTCCACACTCATACTTGTCCCTCACAATAGAACCGTGCACGGGGCGGCGGTGGCAAGGAACGTGGTGCCCATCTCCTTTGCACGGGGAGACCTTTCGCGGTTTGACCACGACGACGCCCTCAGCTGTCAAGTGGAGGTAGGGGGTGCTGGTGGTATGGACGCTGGGGATGCAGTATGGGGCGTGAAGTGAAGGGACGAGTGCTGGGGTGAGAATCTGTGAGCCACTAAAGGCGGGCCTGCTCACTTGCTTGCCCACAGCGGTGGCGGCGACGAGAATGCTCAATGAATAGAGAGCGCAGTGCACCTGGAACCTTTCCAATCCTCAGGCTCTCGTCACGAGCGCTGGCTGGTCTGGGAAGAAGACGATCTTTATCCTGTTCATCAACGGACGCCCGGTCGACTGCTCTCCGCTTCAGCGGGCCTTGGAGGCAGCGATATCAGCGCTCCTGCAGCGGCCAACCAAGCCCTTCCTCTTCCTGGTGAGTCGCTTGTGGTGGGGCTCTCACTGCTTCCCTATCCTTGTTCACTGTGCCATGGCCCGTGCGTGCCCTGCTGACGCTCTGTTGTTCCCCCCCGCTGCCTAGGACATCACGCTGCCCTCCCACCATGTGGATGTCAATGTCCACCCCACCAAGAAGGAGGTGTGTGTTGGGTGCCGAGATCAAGCTCCGTTGCTGAGTGGGTGACGGGCAGGGAAATCTCATCTCCCGCGGGACATTTGCGGGCTCTGCCGACGAAAACCTCGAAAATACGGGTCCCCACATCCATGCGCAGGTAGCGTTCCTGCATCAGGAGGATCTCATCGACGCGGTGCGGGAGGAGGTCGAGGCGGCCCTGCTGGCGTCCGACCACGCGCGCACCTTTGTGCAGGTGTGCTTGGTGTGGTAGGGCCATTGCCCTGCAGAGTGCTGGGCTCCCCTCCTGAGCGTCCTCAGGCTGCGATGTGCTGAGAGGGAGCATGGGACGTGTCAACTGGCTGGCTGTGTCATGGCGCTCGCACCCCTGTGCCAGCCGCGAGCTCAGCTCATTCTCTTCACACCCGGCTACCGCCACAGACCCAGCTCCCAGGTGCACCGGTCATAGACGTCGCAGGCCCCAGCCAGTCCCAGCCCAATGCTTACCGGCCTGAGCGCCTGGTGAGGACTGACGCAAAGGCGCTGACCCTGGACGCGTACCTTGGACAGACGCAAACTCAGGCTGACGGCGGGAATGACGGACCTCGCCCATCCGTCTCGCCAGCGACCGGCAGACCAGGCGAAGTGGCTGCCTGTCCAGAGGCAAGGAGCGGCGGGGTATCGCAAGGCCGACCGATCGACACCCAGGAGGATGGGCAAGTGGCGCTGGCGGCCGCAAATGGCAGCCCGTGCCCCTCTCCACACAGGCCCGGGGTCTACCCCGTCAGGCGGCCCCGGACCATGCCAGGACCGCACACACTGCAGTCTGCTACAGAGGCAGAGGGCCCCTACGCCTTCATGCCTACGGCGCTCGAGATAGGGGGCCTGCTGGCCCCTGGGCCGACATCCCCGGAGGAAGCGGACGCGATGCCCAGCCAGGCGACCGCGCCGGGGCGCCAGCTGCAGCGCCGTGCGGTGACGAGGACGGGGTCGGGGCGCCGCAGCGATGCGGGGGAGAGCCTGGTCAGCGTGCAGGAGATGGTCCAGGAGGTCCAGGCCAGCGCCCACCCAGGTGATGCCGGCGGGGAATGGGAATTTCCCTGTGGTTTGTGTTCTTGATTTGCTTTGGATGCAGCAAAACATGGATATAGCAATGGAGTTGGAGGGGGAGCTGCGCATGCTCCGTCCCAGCACCATGACTCACAAGCAAACGCTCCCAGCAGGTCTGGTGGAGGTCCTGAAGAACTACACCTACGTTGGCATGGCCGACCCCACCTGTGTCCTGCTGCAGCATGGGACCAGGCTGTACGCCGCCAATGTGCCTGTGCTGCTCCAAGACCTCGCCTATCAGCAGGCAAGCATGCTGGGGCGCAGGGATCTTGGGTTGGGGCTGCTGGCAGTGCTCTTGATTATGTGGACTCGTGGTGTGCCTCCACACGTTGCGAAGAGCTGTGTGCCAGCGATTGCAACGTTGCGGGCTTTTTGACCTCATGGATTGTGCTGCCTTGCACTTGATGACAGTTGAATCTCATACGGCATGCGTGTACACACCACACTCGCCCCTGGTCCAGAATTGTCCTCCTTCCCTGCAGGTATTGATAGGGTTCGGGGAGTTTGATAGAATACATTTGGACCCGCCACTCTGTCTTAGTAGTCTTCTCCAAATAGCTCTCGAGGATGACCAGGTGAGGTGCAAGTGTGGAGGTTGGGCCAACACAAGTGATGAGTTGCGAGAGTTTGGGTTGAGCTCCCGTTGCTACCGATTGTTAGCTTGCACAGGGGAGCATAAGCTGCTGCATTGGCATGTGCGACTTGCTATATGCATTGCAAGGCCCTATGGATCCTGCTCTCATCCCTACTTTTTCCGAACCCACCTTGCAGAAGCCTCTAGAAGGCCGTGAACCAGAATGCTGTTTACAGCTGATAACTAAGCGTGCAGATATGCTTGCCGACCACTTTGCCATTGACATCACCCCAGGTGTGGGGCGCCCAGGGTTGGGCAGGGTCAGGGTGGGGGTTAGGGGGACAGGTTCTCGCCATGACACAAGGCTGCTCCATGGTCCAAGGCCATGTGAACTGTGCGATCTGTGCTTCACAACCACTGGAGCACACATCCGACCCGCACATCCTCCTGCAGATGGGTGCCTGGCCAGCCTTCCAGCTCTGCTGGACACGAGCATGCCCAGTCCCCTTGGCCTCCCATCTTTCATCCTGGCCCTGGCTTGCACTGTGGACTGGTTCCACGAGCGACCCTGCTTCCGAGCGGTTGCCGAGGTAGGCCCCTGGCCTGAGGGATGCAGGGTGTGCGGACTGTTGTGTCCCTTCTGCCGGGCCTGGGCTGCGAGCCGCCTGGGCACAGGTCTGCATAAGCTGTTGCCGAGAGGCAACCCTGCTTTAAACCTACTTGTCACCGCGCTCCCTTGCTCCTCACCACAGGCGCTGGCCGCGCTGTTTGGGCAACACACCATGCTGGAGGAGGAAGGAACCCCCGCCCCCACGCAGACCCTGCCCACCCAGGGCTTGCCATTCGCGTCGCACGACTGGCAGATGCAGCACCAGCTCCTGCCCCTCCTGCGAGCTCGCCTCGTGCCGGACAAGCTGCGGGCGCGGGACGGCACCGTGCAGGAGCTGACGCGGCTGGAACAGCTGTATCGTGTGTTTGAGCGCTGCTGACCATGTTGGACGGCGGTGACCCCCCTCGGTCTGATGGCTGTGACTGCCACACGTGGCCTGGGGCAGTCCCATGCCCGGGCAGGGTTGGGCAGGAGGAATGCACTGGTCCTCCTCGTGCCGCTGCACATACCTGGGCTGGGGCTCGATTACAGCACAAATATCATGATAACAGGGGAGTGACGCTTGTCTGCGGCCGGCAGCGAGGCTTGGGCTGCCTCTACCCCAGAACACGGGAGCAAAATTGCTGGCGGGCAGGCGTGGCGAGATGCACTGTGCTGCCGCACATTCAAGTGGGTGGTGTTCAGGTCAGTGCTGGGCGGCGTGGCCCTGGCGGGGGGGGGGGGGCAAAGGGCTCCCGGCGCATCAGTCCATCTTGGCCGTGCCCAGCTCCCATGTGGCGCGCAGCCTGGCCCACGGTCCGGCCAGCAGCTTGGCAGACCAGGCCTGGCTGCCGGTGATGCCCACCAGGACGCAGGCCGCCATGGGGATGCGCCAACTCAGCGGAATGGCGGGGGACCGGGCAATTAGGGTGTACAGGAACCAGGATATCAAGGGGACGCCGAGCAAGGTCCTCATCAGGACAAAGGCGGCTGCGTGTATTTATTTATTTTTGGGGGGGAGGAAGAGGTCGGGACACGGCATCCATCGACGCGGCGGGGAAACGATGCGACGCTCGACGCGCCGACTCCCACCCCAGCAGTAGGTTCAAGCAGCACGCCCCATTTTTGAACAAGCCCACTGAGTTCAACCACGCGCTGGCACACACCTGTGAAGGAGGGGGACAGGTACTCGTACAGCTTGAAGCAGGTCCGGGAGCGCTGACGCAGCGTCCCCATGAATGTGAAGGCATTGAGGAGCGGGGACGTCACCTCTCCAAGGAAAAACATGATCATGGAGGAAACGGCCCCGACCCCGGTACATAGAGTCCTGATTGCATGGGGAGGGGTGTTTGTGTGATTGTGAGCAAGACTGTGGGTGTTGATGGGGGTGTGCAAGCGCAGGTTATGTGGGGAAGATGCAGCGCGCAGTGGGGCAACCTGAAGGCTGTGCAGTGCCAGCCACCCCTCTGACAGGGCAGCGTCAATCAACAACACGCCATGCGTCGCCACCGCTCACCCCAGCACGTAGAAGCCGGAGATACAGTGGTGGACGAGGAACATAAAGTCCCCGGGGGTAAATGGGACCAGGTAGAACAGCACGTCAGCCACCATGTAGGCAAGGGAGAACTGCGCCAGCTGCGACTGCACAGGCGGGGAGAGGGAAGGCGGTGGGGACATCAAGCAGTGAATGCCATGTCCTTTGGCAAGCCTGCGGCCAGGGATCATCCTTGACATACTAAAGGTATACAAATAAAACTACAATCTCACAATCAGGACCCCACTCCATCTCCAGTCACGCCTCTCTACCTGGGATGGCGTGTTGACCGCATCCAGCTGCACATGCCGCAGCTTTGCAAGCTCTGGCCAGGCCGCGACGCAGCACCAGACGGCGTGCACGCTGCATAGGTGGGGACCAGGCAGAGCGCCACCATGAGCGTTGCTCATCTGAACGATACTATGAAGGGAAAGATCACCACATCTGCGGCCCACCACGGCAAGCCCACGCCCAGCCCCTCATGTCCAGCCATTCACTCACCTACTCATTGTACAGGAGCCAAGCAGGGCCGCTTGATCCCATGACAGGCTGGCCCCAAATTTCCATGCGACCAGCGCGAATGCAAACAGGACTCCGAAGAAGAGTATAAAGGAGGGCAGGGAGCTCCACTGGCTGCCGAGGGAGGCCAGCCAGACCTCCGGGGGTGCGAGGGCGCGCTCCAGCACGCCCAGGCCGTCCATGGCAGGGAGCTCGTCGGCGAGCTGAAACCGATAAGTTATTCTTCCAAGGGGGAGTGGGCCGTGCTCCACGGTGAACGACACACGCTAGTGCCGTGTCGGGGACCCAACTTCCCCGTGCCCTACTCAGTTGTCGGGCCAACCAAATCTCCGGCAGCTCTGCTCCGCCTCAAGTGAGATGGGAATCGATCATGCCATGATACTATCCAATGCTGGGAGTGGGACAGCCTTCCAGGGATGTGCGACGCAAGGTGGGTTTTGGTGCGGGGTCGTACGGTTCCCTGAGCGCGCCTTCGCTCTCCGAGACGGTGGGTGGGAAGGAGGTGGGACACGCCCTGAGGTATTGGCCTAGGCATCCCCTTGTGAATCCAGAAGTCCTTAAATAGCACACCGAGGCTCAGTGCAATTTCTTCTTTTAGCTCGACAATGTACCTGGCGAAGTGCGTCCATGATTGGGTGTCGTGACCATAGGGCACCTTTCAACGCCATGGCGGAACCGACGGTCCTCCACACGGGAAGCTGCCACTGTGGAGATGTCAGGTAGAAGCACATGCGTCCGCCGTGGTTTCGGCGAACTGCATACCGATTATGCGAGGAGGGACCGCGGGAATTGTCATCAGCCCTCCTTCCCATGTAGGTTTCAGTTCCGGAGTTCAGCAGACCTCATTGGCTGGGACTGCAATTGTGAGCCCCTGGGTAGGGACACTGGCCAACAAGTAACTCGCGTGTCTTGTAGATTTGAAGTTCCCTGCAGCCAATTTATGGACCAGGTAGAGGGCTCCTCTGATGAGAGAAGGGGCTCTGCTGAATCATCACGAACATCCCAGACCCAACCAGTCTCCTCCCCAACCCTAGGCTCCATCTGTGCCATGAAGAGAAACGTGCATGCCATCATCCCTGAGGCTGACTTTGAATGCACAAGAGGCAAGGATGTGCTGCAGCAATACACCTTCAACACTGGCATAGCAAAGCACCTGTTCTGCAAGCGGTGTGGAGTAACCCCTTTCTACCGGCCGCGCAGCAACCCCTTCCACTATGCAGGTGGGTCCTGGGTATGACAGTGACTGGAAATAAGAATCGTACCAGATTTGATTCTGGCTGTGCATGTCCTATAACTCTGCCTCGTTTCACAGTCCGCATCTGAATACAGTTCTCCCGCTCATTGTGTCCAGTGACGATAGCCTGCATCCACCCTGGCTCCATCCAGACGCTTGTGGTGAGAAAGGTGGATGGCCAGAACTGGGAGAAGGCTGTCTCGGCGTGTGGCATTCAAGATCTGTGACCACATCCTCCCTTGTGGACATACTGGATGTGTACACCCTTCCTCCTTCCTCAAAGCTGTGCCATGAATGGCTACCGTTATGACGACTCGCAAGGCATACAATCTGCACACCTAGTAAGCTCTACCCCTCATCATTCAGCGAAACCGTCATGCATGAGGCGCAAGGGATGACACAGTAGATCACAAAAGTACACAGGAGGTGTGTGATATGACTGCGGCCAAAGATGGTCGCATCTGACAAGATGTAATATCATCCATCGGCTGCCGAGGGGCGTTATTGCCCGGTGAAGCCCCCTGAAGCCCTCTCAAGGTTCTCCCGCAGAGCCCTGCAAGTACATGGTCTGACAACTCATCAATGCAGGGGGTATGGGTCCGGTCTGAAAAAGCCATCGATACCATGCGGGCTCTTGCTCCTGACAAGCTTCTGAGCATGGCGCACCTCCCCGCCCCCCCACCCCCCACCGGACGCACGCTTCCTGTTCCGGCTTGAAGTTCAGGTGTTCCAGCAGGGTTGAGCTCAGACTTTGCAGATCGCCGAGTTTGGTGCGTGAATACTCCTCCAGGTCTTCCACCGAGGTGATAGGTTCAGCCAGCTCCTGGTCAGGGAAATCAGTGCGGAGTTGAGTGCAAAGGACGCAGACCAGATCACGCCACCCGGGCCGAAGTTGGAATGGTCGATGGACGCCATGGTTTGGATGCTGTGCGCATTCCAGTGCACACATGCCTCCACTTTCCAGAGGGCCCTGCACCACCCCGGGCATTGGCCCTCTTGCCCATACTCCCGGGCGCCCCCTTCACCTGGAGTAGGCCGTCGTTCAGCGCATAGATGACTCCATGCACTGATAGGTGCTGCCCATCTTCCCAGGCCGCTTGGACAATGGGACTGGAGCAGATGTTGAACACCTGTGCAGGTTGGAGGGCTCCGCTTCTCAGGGTAGGCTGAAAGAAGCATGGGTGGGCTGCTTGCAGGGTGCATGGGTCGGCAGCGAAGTCTGCGAGCCACTGGGCTTCTTCATCCAAGCCTGGGCCACAGAACGACCACCAGGCGTTCCCACTCACCTGTCGCAGAACATTCAGCTCGGCCAGCTTGTTGACCTGGGATGTGTGTCAGCATGATGTTGAGTGAGAGTTAACTGAGCAGGATGGGCCCCGCACCAGTTAAGAGCTCACCGCGCATGTCTACAAGCAATTCCATGATCCCACCCCTTTGTGTCCACCCGCCCCCCCTGGCACCTGCTCGTCTCCCTTGAACTGTTTCAGGATGAGCGCGTGCCGGTCACGGGTGTCGCGAATGTCCTGGATCCACAAATTGACCAGTCCTGGGCAGATGAGGCGCAGGAGGACATCGGTGAGCGTGGAGGGGGCAAGACCCATGGTGGTAGTGCTGAAGCAGAGCTGCCTGGTGGCGTGGATGAGGCCAGGGCAGCCCATGGCGGCAATGAACTGCGACCCATCCCCTCTGGTTGGGCCCCCACAATCCCAGGGGTGATCTGGTCTGTTCCCCGAGGTCCTAAACAAACAGTCCCCGATCTGGTACCCTGCTGGCGGTTGGGCATAGTGAGGGCGCCCTTGACCGCGCCGCAGTTGTGGTGCCCGCACACGATGATGTGCTTGACCTTCAGGGCCGTCACCGCGTACTCCAGACAGGACATGGCATTCATGTCCTTGTGGGTGACCAGGTTGCCCACATTGCGCTGCACAAAAACCTCGCCAGGACCCAGGCCCATCAGCTGGTTGGCCTGGTGGGTTGTGGTGGGGGTCCCGAGCGGCGGGCCGCGGTTGGTGGCACGGGGGTGCAGCCACTGGGCAGGCGAGGGTGGCTTCAAACATGTCCCCGCCCCATCGGCTGCATCAATTTGATTCCTCGCTGCATGCATATGACGGTGGGGCTGCGAGGCTCTTCCCCACCACGCCGCAACTCACTGGCACGCGGCTGTCGGAGCAACCAATCCACAGCCATTGTGGGGTCTGGATGTTGGCAAGCTTGCTGAAGAAGGTTGGCTCAGCCTTCTTCTGCTCCTCAGACCATTTCCTGGCGACGCAGTGCATATTAGCTTTGAATACCCCTTGGACATAGTCATGTGCACTGGAAAAGACAGCCTCTGCCGATCCGAAAAATGTACATGGGAGTCTCCCCTCCAACACCCCCTCCCCCACCTGCACTGCCACGCCCGCACCTGTTCCTCTCCAGAATGCCCTGCAGGCTGTCGGTAGCAGCCGTCAAGTGACGGTATGAGGTCAGGACCGTCCCTTTCTGAATTCCTTCTACCATGGCGGATCGCAAAGGCCGCGCGATCTGGAAGCGCATGGTGTCGGAGAGGGTGTTCCGCGAAGGGGGAAGGGGTCGCCGCAGCGTAACCCTCGACATGACCTAGGGCTTGGACCTTGGCACCTCTACAAGCACCCTGTTCCAGTGCCTCCCAACCTGAGATCCTTGAATACAATTGCCGGGCAGCTGATTCCGGGACGCGTCCCTGTCGTGTCAGGGGAAGCGGACCCCGGGGTCTTGCCTCGCTGACCGGGTTCCAGAACCGAGGCCTTGAGCAGCAGGGGAACGCTGGAGATCAAGGATCGTATACCGGATCTTTAACAAGACTAAACCGGGGTAGACAGTCAATGGTCCTTGGCGTTCGGATTGCTGTGCCACAATCCTGTCGACTTATCCGGGTGACCCCGGACTCACCAAGAGTACTGCATGTGTGGCCAGGACCAGCCGTGATGTTGTCCTCTTGCGCAAGCCTTCTGCCACGGATAGTAGATACTAATTGCGTCATTGGCATGGATCACGCAAGACCGTCTGCCCCTTTATCGTTACGGCCAGCATACACGTGCTCATGCAGCTTGTCCACCGCCATGCTGCTCGGCGGGCAAAAGGAAACAGGTGTTGGCAAATTGCGGCGCAGGGCGTATGCAAGGCAGGCACTGTACAGGTCACACATGAATACCACCAGCATGGCATCACCCCTGGGCACCTGGCATCCCCTCTTGGCTGCGGCAGTGAAACCCCCACACAGATCTCCAGCCTGAGGTTCCTACCACCACCACCCTGCACACACATCACCTGGGAGGACCAGATGCGGTGTGGTAGGCCTCAGCCGCCGATGTGTCGTAGCCCGCAGTCTTCTCCATGGTGATCAGGCGCCTGCTGTACCGTGTGCTGAGGACCTGCTCGCAGTTTGCCACCAGAGTCAAGGCAGGGTGGGCCGGCACCTCCTCGGGGCTGTAGTAGCCCGGGATGGCAGGCAGGAAGTAGACCAGGCGGCCGCCTGCAAGACGAGTTGAGGGTCTCGCTGTGAAGGGGTCCCGGTTTAAAAAGGACTGTGGCAGCAGCACCACTCAATCACAGACTCCTCCATCCAGCCCGCGGCCTCTGCCCACGCACCGATCCTGAGGAGGCGGGCGGCGGCGTCCAGCAAGTCCCTCAAGCACTCCCCCAGCTGGTAGGGGTCGGTGGCGGGGATGTGGGTGTCGCGGTTGCGGGGCGTGTAGTCCCGCGCCGCCGTCTTCCTGCCCCCCGCCCGCACGCCGTAGGGCGGGTCGCACACGATCGCGTCCAGCACCTCCTCCAGGCCAGGGCGGAGGGGCAGGCGGTGCAGGTCCGCGCGCAGGAGGCCCACCGGCTGGGGGAGCCCGTAGTCGTCGAAATTGGTGCGCACGTTCACCGCGGAGCCACCGCCGTCCTTCTTGCCTGGAGGGGTTGAATGGTGGGTGGTGTTAGTTGGGGACCCCCGGGGCTGGAGCGGGGGACAGCTTCAAAGGCAGGAGTGTGGACACCGACCTGGCGGTGCGGGGGCGCAGCAGTCCCCTATGTTGCATGGCCACTCCCACTGTGACACCGTGTCAGGGTCACACCATACCTAGCTTGATGACTCGCATGTCGATGTCGGCCCCAAATGTGTAGGCGCCCCGGTGTGCAGCAGCCACGAGGATGGACCCCGTGCCGACAAAGGGATCGAACACCAGGCTGCCCCGGGAGACCTGACGCATGGATGGTTTAAAGGAAAGCATGTTGAGGTCATCGTAAGGTCACCAGCCCCCCCAATGCTCTCTCATCGTAAGCATCTGGTGCTCCCATGTCCCTGGTGCCTGCACTCGTCACCAGCGAGGAGTTGGTCTGCGCTGGGGAACCCCGCGACGGTGCAGGTAATTCACCGCCTGCCCTTTACCTTGGCCTGGTTGCACATGATGAAGGCCATCTCGGCCTCCATGCTGGTGGGACCCAGGTACCGCCGAGAAGGCAGCTCGTATCGCTTGATGATAGAGCGATCAGACGCTGCGACCTCCCTACCAAAGTAGTACCGGGCTGGGACCTTGGGTAGGGGGTTGGGAGGAGGGTGGAGAAGGGGCATGTCATGCGTTTGCAAGAGAGACACTCAATTAGACCTCAGGCTGTCAGGTTCCCAGGGCGATTGTTATTGCCTCAAGGTTTCAGCGCTGGTCGGCCCACCTTTGGCAGGCCATTTGTGAGCTCCGGTGCCACCACCATGATCACCCAGAACTTGTGTTGGGGGTGTTGTAGGTCAATGCGGCCCTGTCACATGAGGTTAGAACATTGCAGGGCCAGGTGAGCGCAGCACAGGGCACCACCAGCCTTGAGTGAGATGGCAACAACCGCACAATTGATACCAACAACAAATGCAGAACGTTGCAAAGAATTTGCATCTAAAAATCAGGTGAGGCAACTCACATGAGGTGCAAGGGAGCGTGACTTTTCCTCAAGACCCATTTACAGACGGATGTTCATCTTCTCAATACCCACTCGCACCTTGAACTGGGTGGGACCTTCCAGCTGGTTGATAAATGCCACCTGTTCAGGAATCTGCAGCGTGCCACCCCAGAGCTCCACCACAAATCTGAATGACTGTGCAGGAAGTCAGACAAGGACTCCTTAGTCAGCCAAGAGGCAGAAGGGGCCTGGAGCAGCCCCTTTTCGCATCAACACCTACACTTAATGCGAAGCTCAGCCAGAGAGCAAGCCTATCAACAAACGTACACACCGGGTCGTGGCCAAAGCCCAGCATCCCACCTGATCTTCGGTGGCGTAGGGAGCCTTGAGATGTGCGGGATAGGATGTTATGCTGTCGCACATCTCCTCCCAGCTGTCGCCCTCACCCCAAATCTCCAGAAACACCTTCTTTGTAAGATTATTTCCTGAGTTGAGGTCATGCAGCATACCAAGTATGCTGCGAATTCTAGCAGCACTTTCCCAACCCCCATGCAGCGGAAGCGCCTCATCCGTTTCCCTGCTTTCATTTGAAACCCACCTTGGAGAGCATGATCTGCTGGGCAAGCTTTTGGACAGCCCCATCACCGGGGAGATGGAGGTACCAGAATGGGGAGTCGAGTATTTCTCCATGTGGCCGTTCCCAGATCAGGTTTTCCGTGAGGCCTGAGGTGGTGGGAAATGATACAGTCATTGAGTTCGATGTGGTCAGCGTGGCTTCAGACTGCAGGCAGCATGAAGCCGAGTGCAACTCCATGCAAACAAGAGTGCAGACTCTGCCATTAAATCTCCGCTGACATCACGGTCCTCCTCGGGTGCCGTACCCCCAGGGAGGTCAGCGATTCCTGTCGCAGCCGCTTGGGCCTCCACCTCCGCAAGACGGTACTCCAGGTGCCGGTGAACAAAGTACACGAGGTACCGATTCAAATTGGGTACGCAGGCGCCTGTACCGATCACACGGCATTGATGCGTCTCGCTCGCCTCCTGCGCTCTGCCAGACGGGGAACAATGCTCCTCATTGCCGGAGCGGGTCCCGTCCTGCTCCTGTACGTCGGGGTTCTCCTGAGGCACCCTCATGAAATGTATTAAAAGTGTATTTACAGATTAGGCATATATATATTCCCTATACTGTATCTATGTATGTGTGTAGAGTTCATCGTCTCTGTCTGTTCTGAGGGCTAGGCTTATATGTGCCAACCTAGATGCATGCAGCGCGCTCGGGGACGCTGCGAGTGCTAAGGTCGCTTCATGCGGCAGACCAACGATGCATGAACATATGTTCGCGATGATGAGTCAATCAGCCTGAAATACTCTAGTCTTCGGTGTTAGGCAATGCATGCTCTTTCAGCATTCGCCCTGCACACGGCCCCCGGGGCACGCAGGACCGGCTATCGGAAGAGCTATCCACCATGCCTCACCTCCATGCAAACAGGAGAACTCAAGCCCTTCACCCTCCGCATCTACACTAAGCCCAGCTGCCCGTTGTGCTCTTCATTGGAGAAGAAGCTTCTCGGCATCTTTGACAGATCTGCCTTCCTTGCCAGCCCTATCAGTGCTGGCAGTCTTGAAGCAGTAGACATCACCAGCAGGCCTGGTTTGCAGGAGAGACTGGAGCTCCAGGTCCCGGTGCTGACCTACCGTGCAGCAGAGGGAGAGGAAGCTGAAGAGGTGAGAGCTGAGCGTCGTCTGTTGAAATTGCATTACGACCAGGGAGCGACAGGGCCTGGTCACTGATGACACAATCACACCAAATGGAGCATGATTGAACCATGGCTCATACCCTCGCTCCAACCAGGTGCGTCTCCCCCACCCGTCTCCCCGTCTCACTGCTGACGGGCTGGAAAAGTTTCTGGTGAAGTCCCTTCACGCCGTGCAGTAAGCATCAAGCCGATGATGTTGTTAAAAATGCGGAGAGCCCAAGCCTTGATGTGACCTGCTGTATTCACCCCATCTGTCTATGAACTTGTGACTACTGGAATTTGTCTTTTACTCCCTTTCCGCAAATGCATCCACCGCAATTACAAAAGGGATCAACGGAAGCGAATGGAAACCAGTGGGACATCCAGATCCTCGCCCTCCTCATCTTCACACGCGACCACCACGTCAAAGTGCCGCCTGCACGGGGATGGAAAGGAGCAGGTTGCACAGGGTCCAGAAAGACACCAGGCACTGGGTTGCAACTCCCCAGGCATTGTCCTGCCACTGCTTGATTCAGAACAAACTGTTCACCTCGGTGAATGTGGTGCCCTTATCACCGCCCCACCCAACCTCTGTGGGCCCACCTGTTCTCTGGGATGGTCTGCTTTGCAATGGTCTGCACCAGCTCAGACATTCTTGTCCCCATCCGCTCCTGTGGGTCGAGGTGCAGAGTGCTTGCTTGGGATGGTGTAGCCCTTGGCGTCCCTTCCCCAGGTATCAATCCTTATGAAGCAGCTGACCAAGGGACTTCCCGTTGCCACCTCAGATCCTGGCACCCATGCCGCCGCCCAAACCCGCCTTCATCCAGGCACGCGCCCCAGGCAGAATTCCGCCCAAGATACCAGCTCTGCACAGGACCCCAACTTTCGCACCGCCACAATAACGTCCCAAGAGTCCCAGCTCCACCCTCAGCCGCCTTCCCCTCCCCTCACACAAGCCATCCCACCTTGTGCTTGGGGAAGAGGTTGTTGTAGAGGAGAGACTGGCCGCAGGAGATGCTGTATGCCTCCAGCCCCTTCTCCCTAAACCAGTCCAGGACCTGCTGCACGGTGAGGTCGCCCTCCAGCATCCACCGGTCCCACAGACTCCAGCGCATGTCACGGAAGGCGCAGTGCTTGGGCGGGATGGGCTCCGCGGCGGCGAAGAGGGGCAGCGCCAGGTTGGCAAAGGTGTTGCGGTACGCCTCCAGCGGCGCGCCCCGGAACACCTTGTACAGCTCCAGGCACACCAGTCCTGTGGCCATGGCGGTGGTGGTGGCGATTGCGGGGATGATGCGCCCCGCGATCAGCTTGGCCTGCAGCTTGTCCACCTCGGGGATGTCGTAGTTGCGGGCACGCATGTTGGCCACCCCCGCGATGAACTGCATGTGGAAGTTGGCGTCGTTGTCCTTCTCAAACACAATGGGCTGCAGGGCCGTGCCGGGCCGGATGGAGGCCTGCAGCTTGGCGATGTTGGCCTCGATCGCCTGGATACACATGTGGGCGGTGGGGGAGGGAGGGGGTGGGGGGAATGAAAGAGCGCGCCTGGCGTGCTCAGGTTGTCAGTGTGCAACCCTGCACGCTGGCTGCAGCACACACAAAATCCTCGACATCGCGCCAGCCGGCACGGCCCCGACCCCTCCTCCTGTGCCTGGGACCACATACAAGCTCGGCCCCACGAACCAAGCCCGCTCACCGCCTCATCGCTGCCCATGGCGTGCGCCACGGAGGAGGCCTTGGGATCGGTCTCGATCTTGACACCCTCCTTGGCCACAAAGGGCTCGATGGGTGTGGCCGCCGCGATGTCCGCCACCCTGCCGACGTCTGTCGCCCAGGCGGGGATGGGGATGCCGTGAACCTGGGCCTTCAGGATCGCAGCGGCCTGGGCGAGCTGGGCGTGCGCCGGGTCGCTCGCACTGAACTCCAGGGGCTTGGGGAACCTGGCGTGAAGGGGGTTCAAGAGGTGATGACGATCCTCTGAGGGAGGGAGGGGCATGTGCTGGCGCCCTAGAAACTGGTGACATGGTGGTCGGATGGAGCGATGCTGCTGTCTGTCATCGCATGCAGGGACCAATGGTATAGTCCATCTCCCATGAGTAACCAGACACTGCTGGCCACTCAGCCGATGTCCCCCAGATCCTATGAGTCTACCCACACCGGTCTGCTACCCACCTCTTGGGCGCCGACCAGAAGAGGGCACCCGTGGATGTCTTGGCGTCCTCTGGGAAAGTGAAGATGAGCTGGGCAATGCGATCATGGAATTGTTGCTGCAAGGGAGTGGAGCATGGTGGAGGGGGGCAGCATGACCATATGGTCCAGTAACCATTGAGGAAGGAACAATGGCTCACATACTGGCCCAGACATTGACCCGAGGTTTGAAGGTTGTAGCAATAGCATGCTAGCTTCTCCAGTGATTAATAGTCCTATAAGAGCACACTTGTGTCCATACTCCAGTGAGTATGCCAGCATGTTCCCTTGATGTACAAAGCCAATCTCCCGCACTCCCCCACCCCCCTCCCTCCCTCCGGCCCACCTGGAATTTACGCCTTGCCCAGGCAATGCACTCCTCAAAGGTGGTGCAGTGCTCCGAGACGAGCACCTCCGTCACTCGCTCCAGCTGCTCGCGGGCGGCCGCATCGCTGGCAGACCGCACGCTGGCGATGTACTTCTCGGGGTCGGCCAAGAATGCGTTGGCCTCTGCTGGGGTCTTCTCCAGGAGGCCCTCAAACTCAGACCTGGATGTATGCAAGGGCTTTGTGAAGACGCGCGGCTTGGGAGCAGGACGATGGCTACTCCGGTGAGCATGCGACATGGGCGTGAGTCTGGCACAGTGCGCACAGGGGCCCACCCACTGCCCTCCATCGACCCTCCCTGGCATGTTCCATATCCTCCCCCGCACACATATCATCACACCAGCCCACCTCGCGTAGGTCAGGCAGTGGTGGATGTTGTGTGGAAAGGAGTGCAGGGTGCACATGGGCGCCTGCTTCTCTGGCGGGTCGCGGGAGGCACCTGTATTTTTGAAGTTGGATGGGTGAGGCAGTGAGATCTGCAGCCTGTCATGGATAACGAGTACACATTGCTAACCCAAAGCACAAGTGTGACACCCTGCCCACCCCTTTTCTTTGCATGCATCTTGCGAGAGTGACTGCAGCGGCTGACCTGCAGAGTGCAGCACAGAAATACCGACACATCCTGCACAATCTCACTTCAAGCATGTGCCTGAGGACAGATTTGCCTGCTTAGCCCCAGCCCCTGCTCCTGATCCCCGCCCTGCTTGTGTAATTTCCCCCTTACTACGAGCCAACGATTGGGCGAATGTCCCCCCCCTCCTTCCAGCAAACAAGGAAAACCTACCGTAGTTCTCTGTGAGCCCCGGGATGACGGCCTGGGTGTTGGCCTTGGGCCCCAGGGTGCCGCTCTCCAGCAGGGGCTTCTGGAAGTAGACGCAGCGCGAGTCGACGTAGAGGCGCGCGTTCACATTGTCCAGCGCGTTGACCACCAGGTCCAGCCCGCCCCAAAAGGCATCGTCGAACACGGCCTCCGTCTCCGGTGACACGCGGTTCTGCAGCGCGCGCAGGCGCAGGTCGGGGTTGATGCGGCGCGCCGCCGCCCCCGCCACGCCCGACTTGCTGGACCCGATGTCCCAGTCGCGGAAGAGGAACTGACGGCTGAGGTTGGAACGCTCGATGGTGTCGTCGTCCGTCACCGTCAGCGAGCCGCCGCCCGCGCTCGCCACGCCCATCAGCGCAAAGTTCTTCAGGAATTCACAGCCCAGCGCGCCGGCACCCACCAGGAAGACGCGGGCTGCTGCCAGCTTGGCCTGCAGCTCCGCGCCGAACACTGCGATCTGGTCGTCGTACCGCGAGCCCTGGGGTGAACGGGTGCGGTGGGGGGGGTTGTGTTGAGGTCGGTGGGAAACTCAAGGGATGGGAGGGGCCCAAGGTCACATGGGGGCTGCTGCAGGGCGAACGGAGAAGAACGCTTCACGAGAAGCCCAGACCCGCTCGCCCTCCCAGCGCTCCGCGGCTGGAACGGTCGAGTGTGTGCCCGTCCGCATCGACCCACGCCGCCTCACCCTCGGCGCCAGCTGGCTGGCCTCCGGGATTTCGGCGGGCAGGGACTCGATGCTGTCAAAGTAGAGCCACTGGTGCAGGGGATGGAACTTGCCGGAGGCGGCCTTGACCACCTCCTGGCCCACAAAGCCCCCAATCATGGCCGCCATGGGGTTCAGCTGGCCCGAGGCGGTGCTGGCGAGCCAGCGGACCACCTGCTCCTCCACCTCCACCTGGGGGCCGGGCGCGGAGGCGGCCAACTCGTGCACTGCGGCCAGCAAGGCGTCGCCGTCCTCCCTCGACCCCGGGGCTGGCAGACGCCCATGCCGGACCGCAAAGGCGTCCAGCGCCTGGAACGCCAGGTGCAGCAGGGCCGGCCGCTCCATCTGCGAATTGATGGGAGGTGCGAGTGGGTGGGTGGAGTGGGCAAGGATGGGTGGGACTCTACATCTGAGAGGCCTATGATGGAGGAGGGGACGGGGCTTGGACAGCATACAAGGGTGTTCAGACAATCAAGCCACCTTTGTAGACACCAACAAGCCCCCTTCTCCCATGCCCTCCCACACATGGCCCGCTTCAGCCTCGATCCTGAAAGGCAATGGATCCACACCCCGACTCACCTTGGCAAAGTCTGTGAGCAGAAACTCGCCGGGGTCAGCCAGCGACGCAGCCAGGGGCTTGAAAGCTAGCTCCTTGCTGGGCTTGAACTGCACAAAATGCGGGTTGGAAGAGGATTCATGATCACTAGACTCCAGTGCTTGTATGCATTGTATGCACCTGTGCCGCCCCAGCTCAGGGTTGCTCCAGGGACGGTATTGGATGTCCCAGCACGGCATGCCGTTGAAGCCAGGCTTACTGACTTCCAGCCCCCATTCCTGCACATGTCATGGGGATTCCTACCTGGGTGACGATGCCGCCACGCTGGTAAGGCTGGAACTCAGCAGAGTCCAGCTCCAGCTCAAAGGAATGGGGCTGCAGAGGCAGCAAAAGTGGAGGATGGGAGTGAGCTCAGTGACACGCAAGGCCCCCAATACTCGGAGGAGGGACAAGCCATGGCCAAGCCCAGCAATGGCCGCCAGGCACACTCACACCCCCCTTTTAACAACCTTGCAGTTGCGGACCCTGATCGGCTTGGAGGCTGCCAACTCCGGCATGCCGACCACCTCAGTGAACACCACCAGCTCCCCTGGGCATGGAGGACGAGTCGAGGCATTCTTGATCCAGTGGATAGGCACCCACCGCCAGTTCAACACATGCTGGCCGTGATCACCCGGCAAGCCTGCTCAGAGCAAATGGAGGGCACCTCACCGGCTGGCACCACCCAACACCCATCTTCCCCTCTCAAGTCCGCACCATCCTGGAATTCCAGGCGATCATCCTCCACGCAGGTGACCAGGGTGGTGGGCCCCTGGGTGATGCCCGCCACAATTCCAGTGTGTGGATCCTCCCCTGTGGACAGGGGCAGACAGGAGAGGGGGAGGGTGATCGCGCGGAGAATGAGCAGTCCCTAATGTAGCCAGGTGCGTCCATGGACACACAAACACGCGGGACTGCATGCGCGATTTGTAATGCTGACTGCTAAGACATTTAGAGAATGAGTGCAGGCTTCGCGGCTGGCCGTGCCCTGGTGTGCGGGCATCCCGCACTACCAGCCACTTCCACAAGCCGCTCACCATCCACATCGTAGACAGTGAACTGCGGTCCAAAGTCGCAGAAAACGGATGCGAACACGCCGCGGATGTCGGCCTGCGGAGTTGGCACCAGACTGGGCTGACCAGAGGCTCAAGCTGGCATGGCAAGTGAAGGGCATCCCATTCGGGGCACTGACGAAGTGCGTCACCAGGGTCAGCCATTTCTTCCCCCCTCTCATGCTGCCTCACCCTGATGAAGGCAATGCCGTTGGCATGGCAGAAAGAATCGATCCTGATGGCCTGCTCCAGGGGCACATCCACAGCCACGACCACCTGATCAGGATGGAGGGAAGGTGGGATGAAAAGATATGAAACATAGGCCATGGACAGCCTTGATGCATACCCGGCGGCAGTTCACAGTTTCTTAACATAGCATCAGTGCATGCCGCCCAAAGTACTGCGCGAACGCGAGGCGCGCCATCCAGTGTGCAAGCTGACCTGAAAATCAGCCACCAGCTCCTCTGTGAGAGGCACTGGCGCAGCGCTGACGGTAACGGCCGTGTTGAGCTCCTGCAACTGGGCCCTGTGCGTGAAGCGATGCCATTCTGGTGATGATAACATGGTAAAAAAATCTTCCCCTTGCGTGTAAGGGAAATACTCTGAAGCATACCTCTTGTAGTCCCAATGTTACTGTACATGGAAGGGGTCCTGACAGCCAACTGGACCACAATCCTGGCTCAAGCTGGTTTCACCGGCTCGCGGCTCCCACTTACTTGCACGCCTCGGCCCGATTCTTGCCAATGTCGGACTCGGAGAGATAGAAATGGGAAGACAGGTCACGCAGCGTGCAGGACGCCGTGTCCTGGAGCGTCACACTCTTCACGCCAGCCAGAATCACATTCTTGGCTGCACAGGGAAGTGAGGGAGGCTGGGGACCCAGGGTGGAAGTGTTGGGAGCGCCCACTTCTTGCCTTCAAGTATGCCACAGATGTGACGACAGCCTCACTGGCGGCCTCGATGCCTACTCCTTCTTCTCGAGACGACATGGCCCAGCGACTCACCAGCCTCCACACCCAGCCCCGTCACTCCAGCGACAAGAACATTGGCAGTTGCCATACGGCGCATGGATTCTTTTCCATACACTGCCAGCTGCAGGGGGGATTGGGTAGGGAATGTGGGGTTGGCCGGCCTGCAGCAACCTGAGCGCCCCTTTGCCCAGCATCTACATGGCTTGGAGGTCGCCATGGGATGAGGGATCCAGTCAGGAGAACGCGAATATCATTCACCTGTCTGGAGTGCAGGTCCTCATCTATTTCTGTGACAGTGTCCACGCCGTTGGCCATAGTGGTGTCAGACATCTTCGAGCGCTTACCAGGCAAGACCTGCGAAGGGGTTTAGCATACGAGCTAGGATAAGTTCTGGAGTATGCTGGACCACGAAACGATATGAGAGCGGTGCACACGCTGCCTGACCTGCTGTGTGTTCTCAGAACTGCGCTTGGACATAAGTTGATCGGGGTGCGCTGACTAATGCCGTCGCGCCAGGACAGCCTCCTAGCACGTCGAACTATATGATTTTCGAGTCCAGTTGATCCAGAGCAGTTGTAAGAGCCTCAGCATGATTGTTCCAGGGACAGGTTCTCGAGCAATTCCTGTGCGAAAGATCACGTGGTTTAGTGCAGTCCTCTGTACACGGGGACCGATGTCATTCTTGCCCTACAGGATACCGCGACCTAACGCCATCAAGACATCATACCTGACAAAGTGAGGGATCAGACAGAGGTACACAGCTTTTCGGCAAACTTGCCATGGCAATTCTTGTTTGCCCTCGCGTGGTCCTGGCGCCTGCCAAATCCAACCCCAGGTTAGGATCCATTCGGTGCGAGACGGGAGCTTCCACCCTATCTGGTGGATGTAATTGATTCCCGTTTACCAACACAAAATCACAGGTCGGCAGCCTCCTTCATTCGGTGTCCAGTCCACACACCCCAACGAGTCCACCGTGTCGAAGGCAGAGGTCGGTACCTTATTTGCGCGGCAGGGATGTTCAGCCATGGAGGCTCAAGTGTGTGAGCATGGGTTGTGTCGAGCTGCACGCATTGAACTTGGCTCTCTCCCACGTGCCCACAGCTGGTGGCAATGGGTCGGGTTTGGCCACCGAAGCAACACCCTACTCGAAGCTGGAGTCCATCAGATGCGACCTGTCTAAGTTTCCTGACATCGATTTCTTCCGTGTGGAGGTCGGCGGGCATGAGGTGTCGGTGTGTGTGTGGTATGTCAGTGAGCTGGAAGCCTCTCCGAGATCCAAAACATATCCCAACTTGAACATGCTCGATGACTGTGGCGTGGAGGACGCTCATCCACATTTCCCAAATCCGTCCAACGCTGATGCAGGCCATCATTCGTCCCTGGAGACTTGAAAAGGTGACGAGGGAGCTCTCTGCTGAAGGCATCTGCGGCATGACAGTGTCGCAAGTCCGAGGGGCGGGGGTGCAAGGCGGTGAGTAGGACAAGTGTTTGAGCCGAGAGTTTTCCGACATGCAGAACTGTGTGTTTGCCCCAGTAGACCTAGTTTTCGGCCACGCAGTTTTGCTTTGACGCAGGGTCCTGCAAGCACACATATGAGTAGCTGCCCTTTGCCCTAGAGTCCGGATGATTGGAGTGTCAGTGCGGCCTCAGGTGTGCTCTTGCCCAATCCCCTCCCACAGGGCACAAGGAAAGATATGCTGGGACAGAGTATGGTGGCAAGACAAACTTCCTGGTGGACAAGACCCGCTTGGACATTGTTGTTGTCAGGTTAGTCTCCAGCTCACCGGATGAGACAGGGCTGTGGTCTTTCTAGACAGTCAAATGGCACTGCTTTCCCCGCCCGCCATTGTCGTTGTCACAGCATCGCAAGGTCCCCCCCGCTGCTGAGCCATGCTTCTCTGTCTCAGTGCAGGTCTCAGGTGGACAAGGTGATCCAGACAATTGCCAGCACCACGTACACTGGGGAGATCGGGGACGGCAAGATTTTTGTGCACCCTGTGGCCGATGTGATCCGAGTGTGAGTTGTGGGACTCCTGCGCCTGTCGTCTGTTGGTACTGCTGTGCAATGGTTGTGCGCATGCCGGCTCACCCTGATTGAGCTTCAGGACTTGTGTTTCTTGTGGGAGTTCCTCCTATGCTCCACCCCACAGGAGGACGGGGGAGACGGGGGCAATCGCAGAGCGGATGGAGGGGGGCATGTCGGACAGGACTTCGTGAGGCGGCTGAGGTTGCGATTCTCAATATTGCAGTGCTGCTGTACTGCTACAAGCTGATTGCGTCTCCAGCAAGACGCACATTCCCTGTGCATGGCCTTCACGCTGTCCCTTGGTGAACGCTGGTGCGTCTTGCGTGCTGGTGTGAGCCTCAGACAGTAGTTCCTTGTGACACTCTGTTGTGACACAAGGACCTACAGTGCCCACCATTAAAGGATTGGCCCAGATACATTCCAGACTCTGTGTGAAGTGGCGGAAGAGAGATCTGCTTCTGTCGTCCACAAGCGCAGAGCGATTGCACGCCCTGCGCTTCATGTAGACACTCTCGGCGAAGGACTGCGACATGCGCAATCAGGGGGGTGGAGGAGTGCGTGCTCACACTTCCTGGCTGGCGGACCAAGGATCATAATGGGTCGTCCCATATCATGCCTGCATACTCTCTTTTGCTCCGACATTATCAAGTACGAAGCCAAATTGCAGGCGGGCATGCCAACTCGATGAGGTGTCGGCCGTGAATGTTTGGAGTAGCCTCGGGACGTCGGCATTGCCAGCTGCTGCATCCCGACCGCCTCCGGCCGCAGGCTTCACGCGGTCCCAAGGTCCCGCTGGCTACACCTCGAATAAATATGGTCCTCGCGGCACATACCCAAAGCTGACAAGACACCTAATACTTTGGCAGCTCACGTTACTTGGCGGCGGTCAACAGAATTATTCATAAACAATTCTCATGATGCAGCGCTCGGCGACCGCCTTTGCCGTACTGGCAGGAATGTTCGTTATGTTCTCTCCAGCCCACCTCGCACAGGTACACGAGGAGTAAGGGTAGAGAAAATGACTGTATACTTTAGCTGCTGGGTCTCTCGTAGTGTTATTATAACTCACAAGAGTGTCGGTGTTCCACATCGCCGCAGGCCACCTGCGACCCAAGCATCAAATTCGTTGGTTTGCCCACTGCGGAGTGAGTTCAGTTTCATAGGCATACATAAACAGGCAATGGAATCTTACGTCCCTTTACGGCAATGTTTGTCATGAAGACGTGTCTGCTCGTGGTCGTGGTCCCAGCAATCGAACCCATGCGTCCATGCCCACCCACAGGTTGCACAACAAGACTCTATTGATCAGCGCATCCAGTCCAGATGCCTACTGCCGGTAAGCGTTTGCGAGACTCCAAGGGTAACACGAGGCATGTTGCACACGGTATCGATAGTTTGCCTATGTGGTGCCCTCCCTGTGGGCAATCACACCGAGGCTCTGTACCCTAGCAATCAAGCCATGGTTTCTGCGTGTCCCTTGCATCGCAGGGCGAGGGGCTTTGCAGCAGCTGGAGCCTCTGCAAATCTCACCGTGACGCCGACCCAACCCTTCGAATGGTATTCGATCTCCACCATCAACCCAGAAACGCTGGAGTTCTGCGTGCCCTCGAAGTCCGCCTTCTGCCAGGCTCTTGCCGCAGTTGAATGCCTGCCTGAAGGCGTGGATCAGTGCACGGCGGACGCTGATGGGAACATTGGCAGCGGGAATGTGGGGAGCAACAACCTGGGGAACGACAACATCGGTGACTACAACAAAGGTGCGCCAAAACAGCTATTCATATACAGAGGCAGGGTGCTGTCGACACACAACATTGTGATCATGTACCCATACCACCCCTGCCAGGAAACGGCAACCATGGCACTGGAAATACTGGAAGCTACAACTGGGGACTGGACATCGTCTGCAACAACATGCGTGCCGGTCAGGAGCGAATGTGCAGTGTGTTTGCGCTGAGGACGAATGATACTATTGTCCTCGACGCTGCTTCAGCCGCCCCCCTGCCATGATTTGCTCCTCAGTCGCCGTACATCGATGTGATATGGATGGTCGTCGGCAAAGACAGACGAGCTTGCTGCACTGTGGCCCCGGGTACACGTATCATGGCTGTTGTGGGAGTTCCCCAGACCGGATACTGCTGCCCCCTTTCCACCTGTTCCCGCTCTGCACCAACCGTACCAAACCCCGGCCCCACGTTGCATTCGGGTCTCGACTGTTGGATTCCCAGTTTGGGTCAAATGCCGCCGTCCAGCGTTGTGGGGGCCTTGCAAGCCCCATCAACATGTCCATCTACGCCAAATCCTCACTCTTCACATCTATCCACTGTTGGGCTCTTGTTGTGGGGGCGGGTTAGACCCTACAACGTGGACCGCTGTATATGACCTAAGATAGGAATGTTACAGACAAGACCCCGAATACGGTGAGGGGCTTGGGTTTCAAGCACGGTGCCAGGCGGCATAGGCGCGGCGCAGGGCCCGGATGCAGGTGGAAAGGGGGGAAGCCTCCGGAGAGGGGGCCCCCACATCTGCATTGATGGTGCTGCGAGACCCATACGGCTGCCGATGGCGGCCACTGCTGGAAGACTGCTCCGAGCAGGTCAGCCACCCTTCACACCGCCGATGTCCTTCGAGGCCTTTCTCGTTTCCATTTGTAACCCACACCTGGAGGATACTGTAACAGATGCACAGCAGCATATATGGGACAGGGGATCTGTCTACATGGGGTCGGGAAGTCTGAGTTTCAAGCTGTGGGCATTGTTGACGCCCTTGCCCACACTGGCTTCCATCATGAGCAGGGATGCAGGACCACATTTACACATGTATGTCAGAAGGAACAAAGACATTGCATCCTTTCATCTTCTTTGGCATGCTTTGTGAGACACTCTTCCCTGGACTTGGCCTTGGCTTTGCATCTGCTGCCAGTGAACCTGCATGCAAAGTACTCCCAGGCATCGGCATCCCATAGTGACACTTCCTGCCATCCAGCCCCACCGTTTCCGCTTTCCTTGTATGTCTTCATGCGACCTTGGCAGACGTGAAGATGCACTCTGCTGACATTTGCAATCCAGACATTCCCTCTAATCTGTTGTGTCGACATGCAGGA